AGATTGTCTGATCATTAAACCGGATATCGCATTACGAGAATTATGGCTCGTTCCTACGTTACCTGCTTCGCATATTTTTGGCGATGGGGCCGTTTTCTTTTTAGCGGAACAAACGGCGCTCGCCTTTGATGCCGACAGCCACCGGTGCACTTACGAGAAGAACCCTTGGGTTCGTAACGCGCTTCTTTTTGTTTTCTTGGTTTCTAGCTTGTAAGATAGATTTTATGTTCATAATACTATCATGTTAAGCCGCTGTAGGATGCTGCCCTTGTAGGACGTTTGTCTCTTTATTTTTGGCATTTGTTGGCGCTTCAATATTACACTGGCATTTTTATTCGTTGTCATTTAGTGTTATGTGTACCCGCTTCACCTAAGGTAGTTCGTAGCTATGCGTGTTATTGAAAGCAAGCCTTCGTATTTCGTTTCCGAGGGCGTGTCGTGCCCTCGCAGAGGCTCCAACGCGGCAGTGACACCACGTGAAAGACGCGTACTCACTTTGCGAACTCAATGCTAGCGGATTTAGGTATGCAGTGATCTTCAGTGAGTGACACGGGACCCGCAGTGAGTGATCTTCTAGGACAGTGGACAGCGTCCGCGGTGACATAGCTCCGACTCCATCGTCTGTCGAAGCTGGGGACCATGAGCTGTCCCCATCTGGTCGAAGCTGAGAGCAGGCCACAGATCACTCTGTCAAAACCCAAACCATACAACATTTTTGAAGACTTGGAGGTGTTTGCGCGGTTTCAGCATTATCGCAGCGAGAGCTACGCTCAAGCAATTCACCTCATGGCATCCCAGACCAGCCTGCGATCGGACTCTAGACAATCATATGCCTCATGTGTCACTACCCTTAAGGAGCTGTCACTTTCTCAGAGTGCCCCATCGTCACCAAAAGGAATCTATGCTCAAGAGAAGTCATCTACACTCCCATCAACCTCATCACGTGTGGTATCGTTTCCAAGCCCAAAGAAGACGAGTAGCTTGAGCCTGTCAAGCTTTTTTAGAAAGTTGTCCCCGCGGTTTCACAAAAGCCCAAAGTCCAAGTCCAAGCCATGGATGGTCGTAGAGTTTTCGCAGAAGGACATAGAGAACAATGAGTTTGGTGCGGAAGGTAGGGCCAGCAGTGACCAGTCACTGGAGCTTGCACTGCAGGGTAAAGAACAGTACATGGCCTCTCTGGAAGACAGACGGACCAACAAGGGAAGGGTGCATTTCCCGGGAGGCAGCCAGCCGTCCCTAGATGCGTGGGTGAGGGCGGGAAAGCCAAAGCTGTTTGGTCCCGTGCAGCACCCACCACAAAGGCCACTTTCGGCATGTCTTGGACGGACGAGTTCTGTCGCTGTTGCCCAGACGTCAAGGTCGGCACAAGCTCTGCCTCCCTATGCTCACTCGCAGCTCCATAGCTCTGCATCCGGTGTTGCTTGCCACAGTCACGTGACACTGATGCCAGTGATCGTGGTGGATCGGCCGGGACGGGTCCCCTCACTCCTGGACGGAGGCGGGACGGCGCAGGTACTGACTTGACTGCAAGTGCCTGGTGGAACATCCTCCCAGACATGCCCAATGGAAACCCTTGCACGGTTGTTGTTGTCCCCGTATTACTCTCGCCCCATTCTTGCCATTCGGATCCCTGGTGCACAAGGCGTCCCTCCTATGGCATGCTGTCTGCCTGGCAAATTGCGCATTTTGTGGGCATGCATTTCTCTCCCTACAATTCCTTGTGCCCTGGCAGTCATCCCAAATATCAGCTTTGTTGGTGGGAGCATTGCTTCAGTGCCTAGCCTGTGCTTTGGAGAACTTTTTTCTCTACCTTGATTTGTATGCACATCTGGTGTTCATTTTTTGTATCCATTCTTATCTTTCGACGAGGCTTTTCAAGGGTTACAGTGGTAAGACAGTGAGCAATAATAGATCAGCATTAAGGCTTTGTTTTATATTTAGGCGTGCCGTTCAGCCTCGGTTACTCTGTTGCGGGGCGGCATAGGGAGTGCATTTGTTTCGTTCATCAAAAAATAAATGTGACTTGTTTGTTTGTGTTTGCTTTTCTCATTGTTTTTAATACTGTGTGTTAGAACATTCAGCATGAGAATCTGTTTGCATGTTCATAATTTTCTAAACTTGTCGGTTCTTATTTTCTGGGGTTTGCAGATGGGTTGTTAGTCACCACTGTAGCAGAAGTCAGTGTTCCTCAGTTGGGTCTCATGACTAATAGACCTGTTGCAAAACGTGCGGCGCCACAACGGCAGGGAATTTTGGAAACCCTCGGTACAGATCACGTGCTTTCTCGTTGCGACTGCGCGCGCGTCTCGGCAATTACCGCCAGCAGCCGTTGGCAGCCATCCGCCGAGTCATACGTTGTTGTCTGTGTACCGTATCTGTGGCAGCATAAAGGCATTGCGGCAGGTGAACTTATTGAATACATTATTTGTCATACTTACCTTCACGTATTGAAGTGTCACCGAATCCACTTATTTCGCACCGCAATCGTGGCAAGTTTCGACCATGTTCGACAAAGCGTTGGTGCAGCAGACAACAGAGCTGGTACAAAAAAGTGGGATTAGAAGGGCAGCCGTTGGCTCGTCGCTCGCCCGACTCAGCTGCTCAAAAGTTGTTGCCGTGGTAACCTGCGCCTGCTCGCGTATGCCACGTGGTAGCGAGAGGGGGGGCGTACCGAGGACTCCCATTATTTGTCGCACGGCGCTTGCGGGCTTTTGGGATTTTCGCAAAGGGTCTATTGCAGTAACCTTTTGGGTGTGACGACCAAATGCAAAAATTGCTGGGTTTCTATGCAGGTTGGACTGGAGTAACTCTGCTGTTTAAATGCCAAAAATTGTGCTATTTGAACACTGCCTTTGGGGCGTGCTAATGCAGTGAGATCCCCACAACTTGGACACTCGCAGAGCACACTTGGGCTGCCCAACTTGGGGACGTGTTGGTCATTGGACAAGCACTATGTCGGTGCTCGACAAGTCAGTCTATTCCGGTTGCTTTGCTGCATAAAATATATTGGTACTCCCAATAGTGTCCACTACTGCTGCTATTATCCAATGCAATAGCTCTGCATATTGGGCAAGAAAAGAGGATGGGCAAATGTTTGGTGTGAAGCAAGGATTTGAAGTCGATTCTGCTCTTGCAGCTGCATCGTCCATGCTTGCATCAGTGGCCCTAGACCCCACCGTGCCAGTCTTTGCCTACTTTTTGGATTTTGCTTTCATTTTCTTGATAAATTATGCAGACACCTTTGTTGAAATATTAAAACAGAAGTGTTCTATGGAACGTTGAGTGTGCTGATTAACAGATCATGCGCGAACGGAAGAAATGTACAGAAGGTGGACACAGTTTAAGACTCAAGTTGAAAACTGTCATCTGTATTGCCCTTCTATGCAGCTCTTTTGTTTTTTATAGAAAAGTTTGTCACCCCTGGGGGATTTTGGTAGTATGAAAAAGGCCATACTGCATGGAAGGATGAAATATGCTGCACCTAGGATGAGACATCTTGTCAGTGGTGCAAGACAACTGTTGTACACTCATGATAGACTATATGAGTTGCATGGCAAGAAAATCTGGGATTCAAGTATTGGAAGGCTGTACTAAGCAGCTTCATTTGATGGCAAGGAATGAAGTAAAATGAATTGTTTTGCTCTTGACATTTCAAGCCGATAATGTCAATTTTGCACATAATCGAAGATACCATATTCTCCCGACTACCATAAAATACTGGGAAAGCGCCCACTCAAGATTGAGAAATAATTGCGGAAAAATTGGGAATGGGTGCTTGTCTGGTCATCAATTTTACATATAAATGTACTGTGTATATTTTCTCAGATCTTACACATTTGAGAACGGGCGGACGCATGGTATTTTATGGTATAGTAGTTTGCACGCTGTGTGTAGCCCGCACTTAGTGCCTAATCTGTACGGGCGGAAACGCCTTCTATGCGACCTGTACTTAAATGTACAAATAAATATCTATCTATCTATCTATCTATCTATATAATCTTAACAAAAAATTACACAGGGCATACTTTGACAAATGCCTGCTGTATTAGCTCACAAAGAAGCTTGTGTCGTGCATAAATCAACATTAATATACTCTGTTATTCATAAAATAATTTAGAGCTTATCACAGTGGACAATCTCGACAAAAACAAATCTTTGTATATTCCGCACCTGTAGAAAGTCATCGCCGGATAAAATTTAAACTTTTAAACCTGTATGGTCCGAGGAGGAAAGTATGCTACATCCAAACAACTAATTGGAGCATAAGAACTAGTTCAATAGACGTGAAAATGCTGTCTGATCACAATCTATTACTATATTATTAGATGAATTTGTGTAGTTGAAGGTCAGTAAAACTGGGTATCCTTAGTGAGGTCATTCTAATTTTACAGGGTAAATGGATATTAGTTGTTTATATCAATATCAGTACCCCACTGTTCCATGAATGAATTTATACTGTAGTAGTACACTTATATACCCATTCTTAAAGATGGTGCTTTCAAGGGGACATATTGAGAACTTGTGCATCTGGATACTGTATCTAAGCTTTAAAAGATTTTTCACCGTGTCCACACTCTTCAACAATTTATGGGCATCTCTGTCCAGCCGTGCAGGGTACTTAAGGCAGGGTTAACTTTTAAGAGGGAAATGAACAGCTGTTCTTGACGTTTCGTCTAATTAAACGACTCAGCTGTACATGTATTCTACACAGCTACATCTGTTACTGCAACATAATGTACTGATTTGGGTTTTGGCATGATGTGCAATAAGAAAATCGGGTTTGAATTCTCTTCCTTTCATCGTGCCCTTTGGTCATTCAGTGAGTGTTGTGGTAGTGTGGTGACAGGTAGACGCTGGAAATTCTGCACTGCACTCCTATTCAACATTCCTTACATTGCGAGATAAATGTCACAACTCGCTGATGTGCTCCAGTTTAGATGGGGACGTTTTAATCGAGTCCATTAAATGGGCCCGACATGTGTGGCTTGCTGTCGTTTCAGAGGGGGAACGAGGCAGCACATCCTGCTCTCATTCCACACAGCCTGAGTGCCGGCACGGGCACATTCCTTCTCTCCGAAACAAGGTATGCCACAACTTTTTGTTCTGTCAACTGGTGACATCTGTGACGGACGTTAAAAGCGTATGCGATACTGTGTAATTGTTTGTTTGAAGTGCTGGCTGCTATTTTCCTTCCAGCTTTTATTACCCCATACCTTGTGGGCTAATTCTATATGAATGAGTATGTTATATTTAGGATTATTATTTTTATAGTTTACGATTTTTGGCAAATAAAAATTGGATTTTTGTTTTGTCTCTGTTAGTTTCAGGCTTTGAGGGGCTTTAGGGTTGTATGTTTCGCTCGAAGTAAACAAGGAGCTGTACTTGATTGAGTGACGGATTTAATTATAAAGCCGATACGTGCTATCATTCTCTAAGGATGTTTTTTTTTGAAAATTTGTACCAATTGCCAGAAAGGTACTAATTAGCTATATAATTGGCTATTCACTAATGCAACATGCAGACACTGATTATAAAGATATTATCTGTGTTTTCGCATTGCCAGCCTCGTCCCTGCCGCATGAGTGGAAACTTTAGCGTATCTCCACGCTTCGTACATGCTTTAAGTCTTCCTAAAATTGACAGAATTAAGGGTTGTCGATGATGCTCAACAGTTTTCTTATTGAAGCGATATGTTTATTTTCTAGGGCTGGGCGTCGATTAAAAATTTTTACCTGATTAATCTCCACCCTTTAATCGATTAATCAGTCTCATTCATTTCTATGCATAATGTTTTTTTAAGTCAAAATTAATTTTATTTTTTGCTTCTGTTCTTGTAATAAACAGTGCAATATACAAATTCGATTATGAAACAACCTCAATGTGTTGTTGAGAACAGTTCAAAGACAGGCACACTAACAGATTCTTAATTCAGTTGCATGAGACAGAGCAGAGAGGTTTGTTGATACTCTCCAGCAAGCCTCCTTTGATTGTCCACAATAGTCTATGCTGCGCTAAACGGACACTCGAACGGCATTGAAGTGGTGGGGACTGAAGTTAACCTCTGTACTTTTCAAAAGTTGCAAATCTTGCCCCAGTCAGTTTACTTTAGGCTAAAAATTTACCTAAAGTGTGTCCTTCATACAGGTGTCTCATCCAGGTCTGTGTAGTGAAAGCGTTTAAAGGGGGGGTGCAACGATTTCCGGATTTCGGTCAAAGATTTCTGGAAGTTACCCTCTGATACCTCTGAAGTAAAGAACAGAAAACCGATTTCGCCTGCGTGTCCTAGTTGTTGCGTAAAAAAAAGATAAAGATTGGCATTTCGGGCACCCCTCAACTCACTCCCAGCCTTCAGGGTCACACCTAGTCCCCCTCCTAGTGACGTCATTCGGAGTGCCGTGTAGCTTCCCGTGTGCTATCTCGGAGGACGCTTCCTCTCCCTCTCTCCGCTGACATTAGCGGGCGTTACGCTGCAGCTTAGAGCCGAGCGAGGTCAAGTAATCTTTTCGCCGTAGTTCCTTCGGCGGCCACTTGCGGCTGCAGGTGGGGGAAAAAGTTCGACTTTTGTTTTGCGATTATGCAGCGGATTCGTGACATTTTTAATGAAGTAGGTGTTTTCTCTATCCTCCGGGACACGATAAACAACGTAAAAATGACGAGATGCAAATTTTTTTAATCATAAAATCGTTGCACCTCCCCTTTAATTATTTTCTTTCGGTTCGTCAAAATTCACCAATTAACCAGTTCAAACATTTAATTGTGATTAAACCATTAATCTATTAATTGGTAGGTTAATCAATCGGTTGTCCAGCCCTATTGTTTTCACTTATTGGAAAGTTCATTAGTAAATTTTAGTTAAATATTTAGCTAATTAGTTTGTCTTTTGCAGTCCCCGACGTCCGCCGTGGCTGGCAGTTTGTTCCCGAAAAGAGTTTTTTTTTTTTTTTTTCCAACCACCCTATTGGTAGATGGTTTTGAAAGTGTTCGCTGAAACCCTTGGTTTTATAGTACAACACTTGCTTTGATACTTTTCACATAGCTTTAAAAATAAGTATCTGGAGGCTGCCATATTTTTTTTTTTTAATTCAGGAAGAAATTGGGTTACATTTGATTTTTATAAAGCTTGTTCTTGGTGGAAACTTTGGGGTAAAATGGGGTTTTATCCTTGAAATGAAGGACCTTAATTATGTTGTATATAATACTTTCCCCACTACATTGGATTGACTGCAAGTGTCCAGGCTTAGGATGGCTTTATTTTAGCTGGGATCACTTCTTGAGATTATTTGTTTATAAGCATCCTTTACATATACTTGTCTTGGTGGTATCCATTTGAAGTTGAGTAGTGCTGGACATTTCAGCTGTGTCTGGTTCACAAAACGCAGCTGCAGTGCAAACATGTTTTCAGGGTCGCAGCAGTTGAGGCAGTACTATAGTGACGCTGGGGTTTTTTGTTTTCCTGTTTCCACAAGGGGTGAGAATGGACTGAATGCAAAATATTTTCTTTGTTAGTTGTTTCCGTTTGCTCGTAGCCACATATGCATTTCCTCTTTTTGAATAGTGGAGCTGCAAGGTCAGACAGAAACTTTGAAAACCTTTTGTAAATCTGTCTTCCACAAGGCTAGCTTTTCATTGAAACCCCAACAAATATGGTTACATGTTGCTCATGAACAGACGAACCGTGGGTAATGTTTTTTTTTTACGGCTACTTTAAATTCAGTGTTGTCATTAAGAACTAACAGTGTCAAAGTTGTGCTCTGCCTCTTACATAGGCTACAATATCTCTCTAGGCTGGCTTCTTAGATCGCCTCGGTGGCTTTTCTCTGTGTGACTTTCTTAGATCGGGTGTGTGTCCAGCAGCAGAGTGGGAAGGCTATAATATCCTTTGCCGTTCCCCTCTCTCTCTTTTCGTACCAGTCTCAGCAGCTTGAGAGTGGACTGCGTGGTCGCATTGCGTGTGTGGGCTCCCCGTATATAAATGGGGTGCGTGTGGGCAGGATCAAACTTGTTCGATGAAGTTTGCTTTCCTCGTGGCCTCCAAATTAAATGTCATTCGACTGTTTGTGATCTGCTTCATGCAATGGAACAGATGTTGTAGGCACTAGTGTTCTAAGTAATTTTTGCGAGTCCTGCCCTTTTGTGGTTAGAGGGGAAAAATTGACTTCGGTGAAATACCGCAGAAGTGCCCGCTTCGTTCAAGCGCCCACTATTGACATTTCTCAAACTTGGGAATTCGGCAAATTATATGTTAAGTATCCAATATAACTGGACAAGCACCCTTGACTAGATTAACCCAGCTTTCAGTGAATGTGGGGTGGGCAGTCCTCCGGTATTTTAAGATAGTTAAAACATTTAGCCACTGTTTGAAATAACGAAAGTTGGTACTAAAAGAAAAAAAAGGGTGGGGTTATATGTGACATAAGGAAAGGGTTCCGTATTTTTAGAGTTTAGTTTCGGCGAAATTCGGAAAATGTTTTTCTGGGGGCATTTTTTGCTAGCATGCCAGGGGCTGCATGATATTGCCTCGTGAGCCGCAGATTGCCGACCTCTGCTGTAAATGATTAATGATTCCGATGGCCTGATTTTTTCGAAACGAGTTTCAGAAATGGTTTACACAAATAAATTGCCCCGTAAGGACGGATACATAGCGTATCAATCTCAATGACAAAATTTTGTGCCTGCAAAATATCCCCGAATCTACCACTTCGCAGAACTTGCAACATGTCAAACCTGTGAAAATAGTTGTTTACAATGTATTCTTTTTTATCACTGTGTTTTTACAAATCATACATGTTGTCATTTTGATTTCTTCTGCATCTTGTTCTGTGACACATGGGGTGCTATAGCCTCTCATCAGGATTTTGGATTTACAGGCTTAATACTTTATGATCTTATGGCAGACGGCTTACCTACTACCACATATTTTACTGTACGGTTGAGTTTGCATTGCATTCAATCATGCAGTGCATACTGTTTTTCTGTTTCAGGTAGTTAAGTTCATTTTTGATTGCTGTCATATCCATCCTTCTCGTAGTAGATCAGTGGTGTTTCTGTGCAAAGTCTGAACCTATTGCTTCTTTCCTTTCCATAATTTATGGCAAAAGATGTTTACCTCTGCCTATAAGCAACATACAGATCTTGAAAGTGAAACAGGCTTACTCTGACATAGAAAATACTATCTAAATGTGAACAATTGGTGTAAAAATGAGTGAGTCTTCCTTTGTGCATGCTTTGCCACTAATTCTCTGGGCAACTTCTTTTTATTTAAAACAGCCTCTGACTTAACTTTTCAATGGATAGTGTGACCTGGATTCACTTATCTCAGAAATCTGAGTTGTACTTACTTTTGACTGCATGTTTTTTTAAGTTAGACAGTACTAGCACACTTACGTCTGAAGGCTTGACCACATACAGGCAGTCTCTTTTAGCATATGCTTACCTTCATACTGAGAGGATGGAAATGAATGTCAGATAACACCTAGTCTCAAACACAGCTGGGTTTATTCAGTGAGGGGAGGGGGCACTTGTAAGTTACCAGTTTTATGTTTTTGTCGGAATAGGCGATTCCAAAGTTGAAGTTCAGTGTTGGCAACTGAGCAAAGCATGCACCTGACCATACATAACATTAAAATACCAAGCAAGTGCCCACTGAAAAGTTGGGATAATCAAGCAGAATGGGTACATGATAGTGTAGGCACTTGTTTGATCCAAAGATGCTGTATAGGAGCAGTATAGCGGTCTGGCGGGACCCCCAATTTTTAAGCGGCCGCACTGATCCTGTCAAGCATGCTTCGTGCCGGTGCTGTTGCGTCAAGCGTGACGCTTCGGCTTCTCGAAGAAGCGGCTGAAATGGAGTAAGATCTTGGTTAGATTGTTGGGCTCATAAGATTCCTGGGGTGGGCACTTGATGTGTCCTTCTTTTATCGAATATACCTCAAATCTTCCAAAAGTAGGTGGGTAGGGGCTTTCTTGCGACAGGGACGCATCCTCGGTATTTTACGGTAAACATGCTGTTGATGGCAGCAACCAGAATCTGTCTACTGGAGGAGGGTTTACTTGGCTGCATTTCGGAACCCATTTTGTTGTTGCCTTGTGATCATTAATCTTGTAGCCAAGCGTTGTCCCCACGTTCTCATACAAATAGCTTTGAAGTGATGGCTAGATTTTTGGCTGCACGAGCTTTGTTGTGCGAAAACTCCCTTCGATGGCACTGAGCTGCACTCAGGCTCTAACTACACCGTTGGAGCCCCGTTTTGCTAGGGTGTGGTGCGTGCCAACAGCTTAGCAAAGGAAGGTTGCCAAATGATGCTTCTGTTGGCACCTATGTAACATTGACATAATTGAAATGCTAGGAAGTATTTAAGGCAGCCCTCTCCTACAAAGCATTGTCACTTTTGATAAGGCTCACATCCACAGACATGTGTGTGGTCAAGTTTGGTACTGAATGCTAACCCAAAAAAGTGGAATGCTGGCGGGTATCTACTCTGCATTCATTTGAGCTCCGTTTTAGAGCATAAGCAAGCACATACTATAAAATAACGAGCAAGCACCCAGCCAAAAGTTGGAGATAATAAAAAAAAAAGAAAGTGGAGATGGGCACTTGTTAGCTCCAAGAGCAGCAAAGCAGAAGGAGTATGTGGTAGGCCCTTGTTTGATCCAATGGGCGCGTTCAGTAGCGGCTCTCTCAGCTCCGAACGGAGCAACTTGAGTCGGAGTGCTCGGAGCGCCTACTAAACGGCAAAAAAAAAATGTGGCTCCAAACCTGCTTCTACGGAATTTCCGCTTCCTCCCCTGTGCCAGGCGATCTCCGAATAAAATCGAAGCAGACGATTTCAAGCACGATCGCTTTTATTTGACGCCGGTATTGAAAGAGTCTTGACAAGGTCGTTAAAGAAAAAGCGAGTGACTGTACACATCAGCGCTGCTGTTTGAAGCGATCCAACGCAATCGAGCCCTTCGCAGGGCGGTGCATAGGCTGCTGCTGTTATAAATACCGACAAAAACATCGTCAACACACGGAAAATATGGAGCTCAGCAAATCTCCGCCGTTGGTTGCGATACTTTTATACGGCCATATGTTTGTTCTGCCCTTCGTTACGGACTTCCTATAAAATGTATTCGTATATACACACAGGAAGTTCGGCCGCGCTCGGCGATCAAGTTTTTGTCAGCCGAAGCCAGCGTCGGCCAACGTACACCCCGATTTAGCTATGCCAACAAAACATCAATCGGGATCATGCTCTGCTTGAGTGTCCAACTGGCTACCGAATTCACATTCATACCCTGCCTTGCTCTGTTCAGCGCGGACAAGACTATCGTCGATATTTACCGAGTTTCCATGCAACGGCGATCAAGACACGGCGTCAAATGAATGTTTACGTTGTTTATTAGCATATTCAAACCAAACAAGGAATGGTCCAATGCATTTTCCGAAAAGAGCGTTACCTGGAAAAGAAATTCGAACGCGTCATTTGTCTTACCTTGACCACTTTTCATTCACAAAAGCGAGCTAACCGAACTCACGCAACAGAACCAACGCAGCTTATCCCGCCATTTTTGTTTTTCTTTTTTTTTTTCTCTTTTAGCGTTGAAACTTTGTCAGTGATCCGGAATTACGTCATGCTGCGCTCTTTTCACTCCTCATGCTCAGTCTCCGGAGACGGTGCACGAGAGCCTGATTCCTAAAACTCGGAGTAACGTGCATCGGAAGTCAGTTTTTGCCGTCTAGTGGAAGGAGCGCCGACTCCTTGACTTCTGGAGCTGCTACTGAACGTGCCCAGTGGGACGTTGTAAGAGCAGAATAGCGATCTGGTGAAACTCGTTATTTTTAATGCAGTCGTTCCGCTTATGTCAAGCCTGCTTTGTGCTGGTGCTCTTGCATAAAGCTTCACCTCTTTGCGCCAGTGCATGTATGTAAAGCTTCACCGCTTTGCACCGGCTTCTCGGAGAAGCAGCCAACGCGGAGGAATGCATCGAAGAGCTCGGAAGTTTGCTAGGGTGTGCACTTGGTATGTCCTTTGATTTATTTCATAGGTTTCAAAAGTAGGAGGTGAGTACTTATTGTGACATGGGTGCACGCTCGGGTATTTTAGGGTAATGCTTGCATAACAGGTACCCCCACAGTCAATATGAGCTGAAACACCCGGTCGAGCCTTTTTCTTTGTTTGGATCCCCACAAGCTCCATCTCTCAATTTGGCAAATAGTCCGAAGTGTGATTCCTCAACTTCGCATTCCATCTTTAAATCGGACCACAGCTCTCATAAACTGACAGGTATGCCAAAGAAGCACGAAGGACTGTTTCAGCTCATGTTGTCCGCGACAGCACACATCCGAAGGTAACAAACTTTTACGGGAGTTTGGGCAACCTAGCTCAACGCCGCCGTTGGTTCAGAGGCGATTTGTCTGTGCCGTCGGAGAATCACTCCCCTCCCTCGCCCCGGCGTCGGAGCAGGCGTGCTCGGCCCCCGCAGACGCTGAGCATCCAGGGCCACGTGGCTGCTCGCGCTCCGTCGATGGAGCGGCTGGGCCCCAAGCGAGCCTCGGCGGAGTCGATTGGGGCGTGCTCGCTGGACGCGGAGGCGAGCGAGTCCTCCGCCCCCGAGGCGCGGCGCATGGCCAAGGAGGCGTCGGAGGTCACCCTGCGCAGCATGGTCATGTCCACGCGGGAGAGCTTGTTCGTGGCTCGCGGGTCAGTGGACTCGGGGAGGCCGCCCGACGGCTTTGTCGGCACGGGATTCCTCTATATGTGTGTCCACACTTTCACACCTCTGCACCGCTAATCCACTCCTGTATCGGGCATGCGTAGCAGCACCATCGCCGCGCACGACTCTGGCTTGTTCTGTGCATACTGTCAACCCCCCTTAATGCCACCCTTCTGCCAAACGCCTTTGTGGAACCGAAGTTTCACGTTGGCTGCCAAAGTGCGAGATACCGGACTCATGCTCGTAGTCGTAAAGCCTGTTTGCCAGATTGACCCGTTCGCTTTGTAACCATTTTTTTGAAGAATGGGAGTGGTTGCACTAAATGGTGGTTGACTGTGCATACTTGTCCGTATGCTCTCCTGATTGGATGTTTTTAGCTCTTAAAGTTGTCGTTGTTTGCTCCGCATGCATTTGAAAGCACTGCCTGCTGACCTAGGAGCTTCACCTTTTGTGGATGTCTATGTGTAGTATTTGCGTTATCGATTGTAGAAGGCTTGCAAATGGGGCCTGCTGTTGTTTGAGATGTTTAGGTGGAATGGGTGAAACTGATCTAACTATATTGGTGCACGTTGCAAATGTGGTGGCGTCTCTTCTTTGTGTTTGGTGGGTGTCATGGTGTGTGGCTAGTTTGGTGTGAGTAACCAAATGGTATTGGAAGCATGGGAAAACCTTGCTAAGGGAAATCATCTCTACTCATGTGTTACGCAAATTTTTCTAGATATTACTGTTGTTTTTGTGGCTATAAATTGTTTGGACTTAAGCACTGTAGACTATAGCAGTAACAATAAATGGGATTATTACTTGAGATTTTCCTTTATAACTTTGATTCCCCATTGGCCTTAAACTTCAAACATTTTTTTCAATGTTTTTGTTGCTTCTTAATGAAAACCATGTAAAAATTGTCTACAGCTTTGTGTCCTATATGCATTGTCAGCTCAAGAAAAATGCAAGTTTTATTCAGAATTCATACACTAAATAATGTGATTCTTGCAAGATTCAGCTGAGAGAGAAAATTACCATACTTTGTGCATAAAAATTTGTACATTTTGTTAAAATAACAAATAACTGATGTTAAATGCACATGCAAGTAGTATATGTTAATTAACCCCATAAAGGAGAAAAGTAAAAACGCTCTGTGAGAAATCAGATTTTTATTTTTTAATATGGTTCTTGAGGTGAAGATGAGTATCGTCATAAACTAAAATGCCGATAATGGACATGTAGCGTACCCGCCAGTGATCATTGAAATCCACAGGATGTACGAGGAAACACCCTTTTATTTGAGTGCTGTGAGAAACCAAGGTGACGTCCAGCAAGGCCATCTAGCCTCGAAGTAGCAATGAACTGAACTTTGACAGCTAAAGTTTATTTCAGTTAAATACTTGTCAGGCAGGTTGTGCAAAGATAGAGGTAGTGTCCCTATTTCCTGCTCGTCGTCTTCGAAGCAATCGAGATGCAATGGATTGCATCATTCGGACCTTGAGACGACTTTTCTTCCTGTCTGTTGGGCGGGAGCTAAGCTTGTGCAGACGGGAGGAGCCCAAGCAAACTCCAGGCAGCTCTATATTTTCATAGTTTTTTGTCTCTTACTTCTCATTAATTTTCGCTCATGTAAGTGCCAACAAAGTGTGAAGGCGCAGTACCAGCTGTAATTAAAGGGTTTTTATACTTTTGTGTTTCTGAGATGGTAAAATGTCTTTTTAGAAGCGTGCAGGATTTTCGTGCAGGATATTATCGTGCAGCGTGCAGGATATTATCGACTCCAATTGTTGATGTTTGGTTTGAGCATTTTAAATATTTTCGGTGGAACTCGCATTCACTGAGAAGAAAATCTTGAGCTGATGATGTTTTCTTTATGAGAATTGTTCTCCACCTGCATGGGTGCAGCACTGTAGTCTGCTGCAATTTGCTTCTCGTGAAACTTCACATCACCAGTATTCTAAATTTGAACATCTTCATTCATTTCGGAATTTATTTCATTGAAGTATAGCTGGTCAATTCTAAGAAGTTAGATGGCTCTACATTTTTCCATATAATTTGTGATATATAGGGGCTATATTTGTACCAATGTGCTTTAGATGTGCCTTTTTTGTGGTGCTTTCGCCAATGTCCCTTGGCTTTATACTACAGCATTCGTATAATTCACCAAAGCAAACATTTACGCTTATTCTAGCTGGTCATGCCCATACTTAACTGAACCGTCTAAGCTCGCACTGGCAGCATGGGAGCATGGCATTGCACGTTCTGCTGTGTCGGCCGTGCAGTCCGCCGCCTATTTCCTCGTTGCCGAACGTGCCACCGGCGTCGCTCCCAGTCACGCGCACCATTCCTTCCCACGCAGCACCCCTGAAGGTACCGCAGTGCAGCTGTCCAACGGCTGCTGGAACGTGGGTGGCAACACGGTGGAAGAGTGGTCGAGCAAGGTGGTGGAGCACCGTCCTTCCTACCTGGGCATCAGCTGTGCCATCAACGGCTACACCAGCTACAGCCAGTTCTGCCGCAGCCGCGACAGCAGTCCCGCCCGTCCCAACCATAAGGGCGTGGCCATCGGGCAGTCCCCGAGGGCGGAGCCAATTGTCGAGCTAGCGCCTCCCTGCGAGCAGACGGCGTTCCTCAACGGCTGTGGGAAGACGAGCGCGCCGGCCCCCACTGCCGTGGACGACATGGAGCCAGGCTGGTCCCTCGTACAGCAGAGAATAGCCACCCTGTACGGTTCGGAGGCGGCGGATCGCGTGGCGAGGTCCCGCACGAGGACGGCCAAGAGTCCCGTCAAGTTGGTGGGCCCCAAGCGCAGCCCCTCGTGCCCCGCCCAGGCGGTCCGCGGGAGGTCCAAAAGCCCTCCGGTGTTCCGGCACCTCACCAAGAACTTTAGGGAGCACTTGCGGCTATCGGAAGTGTCGGCATCTCCGGCGGAGAACCTTCCCGGTTACATCGCAAGCCCGGCAAAAGCGGCGTCCGGGCGCGGAGCTGCCGTCTCTCCCGAGAAGAAGCGCGTGGTGCCCATTGTGAGGACGTGCGAAGTGGACGGCGGTGACGGTGCAGGGCTGGAGGGCTTTGCGGGACGGTTCGCCTCTTTCCAGCCGCAGGTCCTCAACGGTGGCGTGTCGAAGATCAACGGAAACCACAAAGTCGCGTCTTCCGGCGAGCCTGAAAAGGGTAAGGTGTCGTTGGCTTATTGGTGTGCGAGTTTCAATTGCTACCTATGGTCTGCCTCCATCACGTGCTCAATGCCTTCTGCTGGAATTTGAATGTGCTTGTGGCAAAGTGTTATCGAAGGCAGAAAGCTTGCACTCAAGGGTTCTTAACCTGTCCCCGACCATAGTATGTCTAGCTGTCCCCCCTTTTTGAACCACGGCCAGACTGGATACGAGCTCACTGTCTTACGGCCTCTCCAGTGACGGACGACAGCACCTACAGTTGCAATACGGCACTGCTCCATTGTTGGCTGGAAGTCCCACCAGGCGGCCAGGAGTGACGCCACAGTGCAGCATAAGGGGTGTCGCTATTATACTCGAGGACGTCTTTCTGTGGCCATGCAGTCAATGCACGGAAGCGCGTGTTTGGGAGCCATTTGGTTAATCTTCCTCGGTTTGTTCACAATCATCTCAGGGAGCTAGCACATCTGCCTTTCGCTTTCTGCTTTTCGGCACAGATGCCGACTGCTTCAAAATAGGTTCTCTTCGGGCTTTCTTGGGTGCAGGCATTCGGTTCTTCGAAGACCCGTCAAACACCATGAGCACGTCTAAAGGGAGTAGCTTCTTTATGCAGTATCTCGGTACAAATTCCCCCGGTTTAAAGTTCCCGCTGCACAAAACCGTAGATTAAGATTTATCCTTCTTAATGAGGTGCTCCCTCAATATCCTTCTTCCATTCGGTGGTTAGCGATTCATTGTTGCGCAGCTGGTGGAAAGACACGCCTGAAGTCTTCGCGGACGTTGGCTTGCTATTCAATACACAACAGTAAAGCATTGAGACACGTCAGGGCGGCGTGTCTCAATGGTTTCAATTTTCACTTCAAGAAGTTAAAATCTTTGGGGCACCCTAACATGCTACTGTCGAGTGTTTGCGAGAGCCTATTGCAGAAACTTTAATAATCACAGAATAAAAAACACTCTAGAACAGATGAACAAAAAAGAGTGCAAGTTGTGCCTTATATGCAGAGGGTATCACACAATTAAAAAATGATGGCTGGTAAGTATGCTATTAATCTCCTCTTTTTGGCTCCTTGCATGCTTTGGCAAGGCATAAAAGCAGGGCACTGGGCATAAAAGTGCTCAATGCGCAAAAAAACGTGTCGTCATGTACACTAACTGCACAAGTGGGGTTATTCACGAAATTCCTTTTAGCTGTGGCCACTTTTACATTGGACAAACGGGTCGGTATTTCAATGAAAGAGCGCACAAGCATAATCTTTCAGTATGAAAAAATTTAGGTGGTCATCTTGCTGGGCAAATTAAACGATCCGGTTGTGAACCGCTTTTGAAATTGACCAAGTTCTTGAAGAGTGCAAAGGACAAGACAGAGAGGGAAATTGTAGAGGTGTTTTTTTTTTTATCAAAAAAGCCGGAAACAAGTGCAACAGCATGCCGTCGGTGTATCTCATTGACAAATAATTATATTTTCTTGATGGTTTTATCTGAGGATAGGCGCATGGTAGACGTATATGTAATCTTAATGTATAACTATTGTTGTTTTTTATGTCCGCAGGCGATGGTACATATTGCACGGCCGAATGATGCGATAAACTTACCGTAATATGCCGAGAGATCGCCCACCTAAAAGCGAAAGCAAATCAGGTGAAAATAAGGAGTAAGCTAACTTTTGATGCAAGATAAAAAAAAAAAAATCTTTAAAAATTTTAGTTTTAGATTTTGTGACCTGCGAAACCTGTAATTACAGGGAGGGTCGATGAACCAAAGTTGACTGTCCTTGTCAGTCAGCAATGTTTGCTTATCTCCTGCTGTTGCTAAGTAACAGCATTTCTGCCGAAGCCACCATTGGCCAGACCCTGCAATTACTAGAGGTGGGTGGGCTATCTTTCAGTGTTTTTGAAAAAAAATGGCAAATCAGCAAATCGTGCCGAAAATAGGGGGCGGGTTATCTTTCGATGGTGTGGGGCACCCCTCGAGCTATTACGGTAGTTAGAAGTCAGCACCAGTCCTGTCGTATGTGTGCAATCTTTTGCCCTGTCCAGTTCGCGCTATTTTAATTGTGTCTAATACGAACCAACTAGCCCAATCAAAAGTTGTGTTATAGCCAGTTGAGTATATAAATGATAAATTGGAAAGCTATTTTATTCATTTTCGTTCCCTAACTGGAACCCAATTTTAAAGTAATAAAAAAAATCTCCAACCTATCTTTTGCTAACCGGTTCTTTAGCTAACCATCTGGAGAACTGGCAATGAAATATTTCATGAATGTTACAAGCAGTGCTATGGTAGATATTCTTTGTTCTCTCATTTGACCGGAAGTCTGCGGGGACGTAAATTGCCATCAACGCCTCTGTCCAGAGTATAGTATATGTTCCATTCCTGGACAGCTAAAATGGCACAAAATTGTAGAAAATACTATTTGATCGTAATTTATATCTTTACAGGGAGTAAAATTACAACAAGAGTAAGTGGGGAAAAAATTATTTCTTTTTAAAAAGTGAGATAGGCAGATTCATATATTTGATTTCAAATTTTTCTGATGTAATTCAGATTTATGATTTAAATCTTTTTATCTCAAGTCGCAAAGAATCCACAAGAGTACATTCTTTGTCACTAGATGTATTTTTATATTGATTCTTAAATCCACTCGATCACTGAGTGCAGTTGGAAGAGAAATTAACTGTAGATTTGATGTTATCATAAAGTACAGCTTAATTATGAACTTTTTAATTCTTGGTGTGAGCCGTGCCATACCAGAACAAAAGCAGCTTGATTTTTCAGTCACTAAAAATGCTTTATTTGTTGTATTATATTGGCTAATCACAAGATAATCAAGTTATTTAAGTTCACACATATCAAAGCCTTGTTCAGCAGCCTCCACACATTTTTTTTTTTATCAGTTCTCTTAAAAGCTTTTAGTCAACTTGTTTTCCGTCAGCTTCGTGTACACAGTGCCACTGTTGCCATTGCAGCTGTGGCCAGCTCCAGACGGAATATTAATTAAGGATCTGAGCGGCACCAGAAGTGGAAGGCAAAAACAAACAGAGGAGTTGTTCAACGACATAAAATTGTGGCCTTCAAACTCGAGCACAGTTTGCGAGTCAGTTTCCCATCCTATCTGCAGTGAGCTTATCTTCTAGTCTTAAAGCGCCCAAGACGGTGGTATCATCTCCAAAAGAGATGGCAAGCTCATGGGAGACAAAACGGATATACTGGCCGATGCAAGCTCAACCTGCGACATGCAGCTCGGTCTGTCTGCCTCTGTTTCCATCTCTCTCTCGGCTGGTCTGTGTGCACGTGCGGGCGTACATGCTTTTCTTTCTTTTTTTTGCAATCTGATATGCTTGCAATAGCATACCTTGTAACTGACGAACAAAGTGGAAGGTAGAAAGTAAGCTCAATGCATCAGTTAGCTTAGAAGAGCATCGCCTTTTGCTCGTGTTCATCCTGATATAAATATTCTTTGCTTGACGATTCTCTAATTTAAATACAAAATAAGTGCACTGGAAAGCATCAAATGATTAGCAAATGTTAAAGAAAAGATATTTTTGGCATTAGTTTTCTAGGAAATGTTTGATTTAAATCATCATAGTAAAAGTGTTGCAATTTCAATTGTGGTTTAAATCACAATTTAAATCATCTCAGTTTTTTTTTTATCCACTCTGATACCCCACATAAATATTGTACAACCCTTCTTGTATTTTGTTTGCTTCTGAGACATGCTCAGCCTCTGTTTGCCTGATGCTAGCCTGACTGTTAAGTGTAGATGAGCTCACCAACATTCATCTAAGGAAGCTTATTTGAATGAATGACCCTTGTGGGTTTGTGTAACCCTAGAAGAAGAAAAAAATTTCCTGCTTTAGTTCCTGTTGCCAACTGAAGTCAATATCTTTGACATTGTGTCGGAAACTAATAAAAACATTATGGTCCAAGGTGCAACTAGAGAATATCTAGGATTTAATTTTCATGTTACCTGTTATGTTTTAGTTTGCTAATTAATAAATTTTAGGCTCTAGTTTTATGTAGACTTTGGGTTATTTGTTTTTGATCCCTCGCATATAGGAATGCATTCTAAAGAAATACCTTTGGTGTATTGTAAACGGCTTTATTTTCGTGGGCTCGATATCTTGCAAATTTTGCAAAGTGTGGGTTTCTGGAATATTGTGCGGGCACAAAATTTTGAAATTGTTTTGCGGTAGGGGCTTCTCCCGCTTTTCTTAAGCTGCAACAGACTATGGCCTGGTGTTGTTCGTAGCGTTGACCGAGGCTTAATCCACATGTCTGATCCCTCCTCTCTGTGTTCAGGCAGGACCACAGAACCCGAAGTTCAGGTGGCAAGGCCGGCACAGGTGTGTCCACGAGCCCTGTCTTCTTCGGACCTGCCCCAGCGGGAGGGGCACACGTTCCTGGCCACCATGGCCAGCACTCAGGAGGCCCTGGAGACGCGCATCCGATGGACCCAAGAGTACTTGGACCAGGAGGGCCTCTCGGAGGACGTCAAGGGCAGGATACGCTCGGCTGTGGGCAAGGCCAACCTGCTCATCGCGCAGAAGTTTCAGCAATTCAGGGAGCTCTGCCTCAAGAACATTGTGAGTGACGGACGTCTGGCCTCTGTCGCAGAACACGGAGATTGTCTAGAAGGAAGCTTTCCGTGTCCCAGTGGCTGCAGGTGTAATTTGCTTAGGTTGCGTGTTAAGGGGGGACACTACCCAGAATGCAAAAATATTCCAAAAGCCGGGAATCATAATGATCAAAAAAACTGCTCCGACTTTACTCAACAAGATTAACAATTTAATCAAACGTTTCGTCTCCCATGCAGGAAACATCGTCAGTGAAACCTACAAGCAGGAATGAGAGAAAAAACTTCAACAGTCCTATTTAAGCAAGTCCGCGTACACATCGGGGAGGGGGCCGCGGTTCGAGTTGCAAGCTGATGAGTCACTTCGGATGAACCATGATTTCACGAACCTGCGTGGACCCCACCTTTGTTCGCGCGCCAGAGTGGACGCATTCTCAAAGTCGAAACAGTGACCCGTATTCCAACAATGGTCTACGAGTTCCGTCTTCGCTCTTGTCGCATGCGTGGCCTTCGCCACGTCCCTTTTGTGTTCGTTTATTGTTGTTGGAATACGGGTCACTGTTTCGACTTTGAGAATGCGTCCACTCTGGCGCGCGAACAAAGGTGGGGTCCACGCAGGTTCGTGGAATCATGGTTCATCCGAAGTGACTCATCAGCTTGCAACTCGAACCGCGGCCCCCTCCCCGATGTGTACGCGGACTTGCTTAAATAGGACTGTTGAAGTTTTTTCTCTCATTCCTGCTTGTAGGTTTCACTGACGATGTTTCCTGCATGGGAGACGAAACGTTTGATTAAATTGTTAATCTTGTTGAGTAAAGTCGGAGCAGTTTTTTTGATCACTACTCAGAAAAAACAATTTCTGCAAAAAAAAGTTGATTTTGAAAAATGTCATATTTACATCCACCAACATCTAGAGAGTGTATTCCCAGGAAGTTTCATTAGTTTACACTGCATAGTTAATTTTTTATAAATTATTTTCGGTCCACCAATGCTAAAGAAAAGGTAGAGAGGTTGGAGCACTTTGAACGCATTTTTCTCCATTCCACTTTTTGGCATAAATTTCACTTTAGGAAAACTATTGTTTTGTTATTACGCAACTTGGACTAATTTTTATGAAAGTTATCTTCCCCTTAAAATTTCAAGCCAGAAACAATGAGCTTGTATTTTTTATTTTTGTCATTTGTCATGCTCAAGAACTAAAAGTTTGGACAAAGGATGGAAATCTAAAAAACTGTATTTGTGTTTATGTGGCTTTTTTGTCATAAAAGATGTTATAACATCGAAATATAGCTCCATAGTTATCTGCTCTGAACTGTCCTAATGGAATGTAACACATGAAAACAACAAATTTATAAGCAATTTCAAAACGATAGTTTTCCTAAGCAGACATGCCCCCTTTCGTCTTTGAATGTTTGCAATTTTTTTTGTTCTTCACCCAGGTTAACAAAAATTGGCAGAAATGTTCTCAACATCAACAGAAACAAGCCCTGTAAATATAATTTAAATCAGACAAGTGGTTCAAAAATTTACTTTTTTGGGTAGTGTCCCTCCTTAAATCAACAGAGGACATTGGGCATTCTGCAGTGAAACATTAGGGACTACCCAAAGTTCTTTAATTGAAAACTGATCCCTATTACCTGACCACTACATCACAGTAAGCCTCAGTGACGTGGACATGTCAGCCAAAATCTAAATCCCCCCCCCCCTGCCCAAGTGGGGATTCATGGGCCAGCTGTCCTGGTAACCTGCTTGAAAGCTATTGAAGCTGCTGTGTTGTGATGTTCTGATAATTCAAAAAGTTTGTCGCTTGGAAGTATACAATTGACAGTATACCGACTTGTTAGGAGAAACATGAAAGAGTAAACCATAAACTTGGGCCAGTGTTTAATAACACTTGCTGTAAATTACTTATGTAATTTTTGTGGGGATGTAATCTCTGTGAATTTCACGACCTGAATAGTACCTATCTCGAAAAACGGATACCGCAAAAATGTTTTCCTATGTTAACAAATATGCCTATAGCATACCATTCCGATCCATGAAATTTCGTGACCGCGAAATATTCTAAAAAACCACACTTCACCGAATTCGCCAAATATTGAGCCCGAAAAATTTGTCTTTTAGAGTTACCATGAACTCCCAATGGTGCCAGTACCCACCTGGTGCCTTGACTGTAAATGATGCTCTGCGACTTAAAGCTTATTGCTGTTCATAGACCTTAGTTGTTCATCTACGCAGCTTAGAATAAGGTTGAGCCAGCATTGCGTGTAGATCTCACAAGCCATTTATGTAAGTTTTTGCTTTCAGTTTAAGAAGGTGCAGGAAACTCCTGGTTAAAGCATAAAATACATGCTAAGACCTATACTACATGAGAAAGCCACTATTTTGGGATTGCGGCTTTTACAGTGCTGTTGTAACATTAGTGTTTGAACTGTTAACCATTTTTACGGGCGAAGCTCCTTAGGGCCTTGTCCATCCGTCCGGCGTCCGTGCTCACATCGATTGCATTGCCTCCAAGATCGGCCCACTTTTAAAAAAAACAAAAAAAACAATGTCTGCCCGCACAGGGGTTCAAACTGAGGACTGCTTGCTTACGAGGCAGATGTCTTAACCACTAAGCTACACTCCAACATTGCATGTAGCCGCTCAACGTCTACAGGAGAGGGCGCTGCGGTCAAATGCGTATATAATCGCTTTAAACTTTGCATGCATTGGCTCAACGTTTATAGACGAGAGGGCACTGCAATCAAATGCTCAACTGCGTATATAACCACGGTCCATACTACACATTCTCTTTCTGACATGGACCATTGACTTAAGCGATGGAGATGTGTTCCCGCGGCTTCTAGCGGATCCAAGCTGATCCGCCAGAAGAACCGCTGGCTCTGCATTTCGCCGACCATAAAGCAGTGATAAGAAGTCGAAACGCAACCGGAACTCAGCACTACCTATGAACAATAAAAAAAAATCAGCACCATCAGCACCACCAGAGCTTCGCCCCAATCAACATCATTCACCACGTGGAGATGTGGCCTCTTTTTTTATGGGAGCTCAGTTTGTGATGCTGACACAATCATCTTGTCTTATTTTGACCACAAGTAAGACACCCTTGTAAGAAACCTAAGTTGTCTAGCTGCTGATCCTTCTCGTTATGTATGCATAGCTAAAACACTTATTTTGAGACATGCTGCACTCACTTTAGTAGCTGGCTTGATCTCTAACGTGGTGCTATAATCCTGTTCAGGAGCCCAAACCTGATGACCCATTTCCAACCACTGGCTCGGACCTCGCCGGATTTTGGGACATGGTGATGCTGCAAGTTGAAAATGTGCACGGTGTGTTTGACGATCTGCACAGCCTGAAGGCGAACAACTGGCAGGAGCCTGCAAAGATTGTGAGTATCTTGTGTGCACATTGTTGGACCGGGCTTGGATTAAAGCTGAACCAAATAGCTTGCTTTCGAAGGGAAGGCCACATTGAAATAAGGGGAGTGCCTTCCCCCACCTCAGGAGTGTGGGTGGGATGTAAAAGGGACCAGGAAATTAATTGTGGCAGTGTGCTTTGATATTTCATGTGCCCAGCTCAGTGCAAGTCGATTACAGAAGTGGTACAAATTTACGAGACATACCGTAATATCAATATCTCGAGAGACAGCCCACCTAAAATCGAGAGGAAATTGAGTGATAATAAGGAGTGGGCTAACTCTCCGCATCTAATCGAGAGAAGTTGAAAAAATGCTATTTTCAGATCATGCGTCCCTACCAAACTTGTTATCGCGGCAAGGGGCAACAAAGCAAAGATGACTATACTTCCCAGTCGGCAATGTTTGCTGACATCCCGCCATAGCTAACTAGACGCATTTATGCCAAGGTCGTCGTTGATCAGAACACTACGATTACTGGCAGTGGGCTATCTTTCGGTGTTTAAGAGAAAATAGCGAATCGAGCCAGCTTACCTTTCAGGGTTGGGGCATCTCTCGGGATTTTACGGTGAGTGGCAGAAATGATTATGGGCATTATGATGCTACCGTACTTCATCTCGCCTTAACTTGGCAAATGGCAAAGGCTACGGCCCCAACGAGCCAATCAGCGCGTCGGTGAAAGACTGTACTCTATCTCATTAGTGGCGTGCAGTGTCATCAAAGCTGCCAATGGGAGAGAGAGAGGAAAGCCACTTTTGTATGAATTTTGAATGGGGCTAGTTTTTTATGGGGACAAGGGCGATGTCTGGCATGCACAAAAGAGGGTCCAGTTCTTCCTTTCCTGCCTCTCCAACTGCTCGGGCTATTCCCCCGTACTCTTCTTAGGGCTGTCGCACGCTACCCCTCTGTCGCTCAGATCGGCTAGGGGGGCCGTAGCCTTTGCTCTTTGCCAAGTTGCAACAAAACGAAGGACAGTGATTGAGTTTAGATGGACAAGGCCTAGAAAAGTGATGTTGAAAGGGGTTTGGCGAGGGATTTCTGCGAAGCACTACAAATGGCAACAGTGACATAGGGAGTACAAGAGCCTTCGTATAACAAGCAAACAGTACGAGGCTCAAAACTTGGCTCTAGAAAACGCCCGAGAGAATAGGCAATGAAAAAAGTGTTTGAAATCATCGGAACACAGTTTTTGCATATAACCAGAAAATAGTCCTCTTTTTATGTGAGATTGTATGGTCTTTATAGCGCAACTCTCATAGATGACAAACAAACGGCATTCTTACACTAGGAAATAAGTATTTGGTGCCAGAAACTTGGGACTAGTACTTTTGAATGCAGAGCTTGCATTTTTGAATTACCGTAGATGCTCAAGTTTCAGAACTTAAAAGTTTTGCAAGTAAAACGTTGCTAGAGAAACTGTGAATTCGGCTATGAGAGTGGCATATGGCTGGAGGCAGTGACATAGGTAGGGGGGACATTTAGGGGGTCAGAAGTCCACCCCCCGAAGTCATCACTTTTTTAGTAAAGGAAGACAAATATTGAATGCCTCCAACCAACCGGAAAGGTTGGGGCTGGCCGTGTCTGTACCCATTAATCGTACAGTACAAAAGTACATTGATTAGTACATGCAAAGATGACGCAAAGCCATGTCCCCCCCCCCCCCCCCAAAATAATTCCTGACTGTGCCACTGGCTGGAGGGGCAGATTTTTATTTATTAATTTATTTATTTATATGGATGTACTGCCAGCTGCGTATTGGCTGCCTAGGCAGGGGTAAGATAACGTAATGCACAGAAAGCAATACATGGCACATCCTCAGCACTCTTAGTCAGCACAGTTCAAATGTGACACAAAAAGATGGCAACAGTGATTTGTTTATAACACTCATCTCTTGAGCAAAGAGTACCAACGAAAAATGACAAAACAAGAAATGCATGATAAAACAATCGGCAGTCACTCCAAAGAAAGCTGTTCTTTCATTACAGCAAATGATATCATAACAGCGGTTGCATTTACTACACTCTCGGGTAAACTATTCCAGTCATTGGTTGTCCGTGGGAGAAAGCTGTCTCTTTAAGCAATCAGTTCTGCAGTGAGGGACCACGATAGTTTTCGGGTGCTGTATGTAATTTTGGAATGACATTTGCAAAGAGTTGTTCACACTATCATAAAGCTTTGATTTGGCAGCGTATTTCAAGATGTGGTATTTTTGATAAGTTGTATAATTTTGTAATTGAGCTCTTCTGTATTTGTTGTACACAAATCATACCATTTTCTTCTGGCCCCGTTCAGTTCAGTCTGTATTAATTTTGGAAGTGGGGTCCCACACCATATCAGCATGCTCCAGTACAGGATGCACGGTAGTGCTGCACACTGTTAATTTTGTTTGTGGTGCGCAATGTCTAAATTTTCTTTTTAAGAACCAAAATTTCGCCATTGCTTTCTGCACAATCCATGCTACATGACTATTCCAGCTGGGTTTTGACGTGATTATAACTCCGAGATATTTGTATTAATTGACAGTTACTAAGGGATGATTGTTGATGGCATATCTAAAACCGAGGGGAGTTTTCTTGTATGTGACACACATGTATACAGAGTTACAATTGTTTAGTGACTTCCCAATTTGTACACCATTGCGTTATACTGTTTAAACAGTTACTTAGCGTTACCTGATCACTTCTCAAATCTTTCTGAAAATAACACGCAGTCATCCGTGTAAAACCGACATTGTATGCTATTTTCGACAGTAAGATTGTTTATATACTGCAAATGACTTATTTTTCGCAGGCTCAATATTTCGCGATTTAGGTAAAATCTGAAGTTTTTAAATAATTCGTTAGTTCTAATTTTCGCGACGCAGTGGGATCTGAATATAGATTCCAATGTGTTTACATTTTACTAGAATTGTTCACGGGACCTATTTATCGCGAATTGTAGGCGATTAGCGAAATTCACAGCAATTAGGTCTTTACGACAATTAAGTCGTTTACAGTAAACTAAAAGAAGCAAAGGCCCGATCGCAGACCCCTGGGGTACTTCTGATGCGGTGCTCGATCGAAGGCTTTTGCGAAATCTAAAAGAATAACCCATCTGGCCCCCCTTGTCAATAACATTAGCAAACTCATTCGCAGTATGAAGAAGCTGCGTAAGAGTCGAGAAGCGATGCCTAAAACCACGCTGTTGATCAGGTGTGAAGCAATTTGCCTCAAAGTGAGTCATGAGATGCTTAATGAACAGTGTTCCAGAGACTTATTGCATGAACAATGTAAAGAAACTGGTCTGTAATTAGACACTTGAAGTCTGTCACTGGCTTTATGAATTGGTATTACTTTTGCTGTTTTCCACTGGTCTGGTACAGCAGCCAGTTCAAGCACATTACTGACTATAACAAAAAGAAATTGAGAGCACCATTCAGCATAACTTTTCAAGAATGTGTTAAGAACGTTGTCTGGACCGCTTGACTTTTTTGCATATAAATTCAGAAGTGCTTCGAAAAGGCCTTCCTGTGACACCTGGACATCCGGTATTCCTATCGCATTCTGTGTATATTCCGGTAAACTTCTGTCGTTAGTCGTAAATACTGACGATAAATATTGAGTGTTTTAGCGATAACTGATTTCTCAACTATTTCTCTTCCACAGTTCTCAATCTTGGTTACGTGTTGTCTCGAGCCCTGCAAATGCCTCCGATATTTAGCTGGATAGTTAAGAAGGAAGTTGGTCATTTGAATGTTATAGTACTCATACTAGGGTATTTTAATTAACGACCTATGTTGAGTATGTAGCACAGCTACTTTTGAATTGTTTATACGTGTTCTGTTTAGCTTTTTTGCCTGGCACTTGCAAAATCTCCCTCGTCACCCAAGGACTGCACTGTTTAGTGTTCTTTTTCGTGATTGGCACAAAGTGCTCTATACACGTGTTTACAATTTCTTGGAAGAAATGCTATAACTGGTTTGTGTCACAGTTACTCTATGTAGATAAATCAGAAAAACTGTCGACGGATAACCCAAGAAGATCTAAGATGCTTTCATCTCCGGCTCTGTTATAATCTCACTTTCTTTACCATATCAGATGGTCGATTTGGAACAAAGCCTGGACAGTCTAACACGATCATGCTGTGATCTGATATTCCATCTACAACTGTACAGTGGAAGTCTTCAACACACAGATTATTAGAAACAAATAACGAGTCAAGAAGTGAACTGGTAGTTTCTCAGCGATGTGATTGCTGCGCCAAACTGCGCCAAGGAGCTAACCCTGCTACATCCTGCTACATTTTGCCGATATATGGGTAATCTGCGCCAAGCCCGCAGCAAAAAACCAATTTAGATCGCCTTTAATTCAAAACCGAAACTAAACTGAGTACCGTAATTGAGCACGTGTGTGTTATGTGGCGCAAGCGGCCTGATAGACGTGGGAGTGTGCGGAAGCTCCGACGCTAGCGTGCCATGCAGGCGGCCGTGAAACGAGACCATGTTTTTCTGCGGCGGGAGTTACTTTGTGAGCTGAAGCACTCGCTCCTGAAAGCAAGAGCCGTGGGAAAACTATATTTGGTCCGTGCCTTCCAGTCACCGTGATCGCGCGATGTCGGGTGTTGCTGTCCCCATGTCGCTGCGGATATGGCGCTTTCTAAAATGAAACAAGTACCGCCCATGTTCATCAACATTCCTGCTCTTGTTTAAATCATATGTTACTACAAAAATCCCTCTTCAACTCGGAGACTGCTGTGTCGAAGTATTGATTACCTAGGTTTCTCTCGGTGGGTTTTCTTTCGAGGGGACCCCAGTACATGAAAAATCTGCCGCGAAAGAAAGTTGGTCAAGAGAAGCGAGCTAAAGGAACGAAGGCAATGTCTGCGCGCTGAACCCGCACGACGCGCTTGTTTGTCTCGAGTTCAGTCATTGCACATAGCGCTTCAAGAACTTTTTGAACCTGGCTCGCGATGTCTTGCATCATTGTGCTCAGGTTCTTTTTTTCTTTTTTTTTTTTTTGTGTGTGTGTTTAGCTTGCACCTTATTTGCCGGCCTGGCAAGTACGCGCCACTGGACTGTTTTTTGTCCTATGCTCGATAGTTACATTTTACATACAATTTCGGGAATCAGTTGGCGACGGAGCGGAGTGGCATGGTTTCGGTTCCGATCGAACAGCCACTGTCTCCACTCACGCGATGATTGCACAACAGAGGCATCAGTCGGGACGCTTGCAATCTATTGTTTTACATTGGCTTACTTCTGACGAAATTCTGGCACGTTGGGAACCAGTGAAACTGTGGCAAGCGGTTTTTCGGAATTGCTTGGCAATGTCTACAGCACTGTACATTTGTGGGACGTCTCAGCAGTAAAAAACCCAAGCAGCTAGTTCCGTCACAACACATCACATCAGAACACAACACAAAGTGCCCTTCATTTATACAGCACTTAAAACAAATATTTTTATTTTTCTAAGATTATCCACTCCAAAAGCCACTTTTGCTGCTCCAAAACACTGTTTTGACTGCTCCAAAACGTGCTCCAAAATGGCTTAGGCCAATCACATCACTGGTTTCTTTAACTCTCGTGGGACTTGTTACAATCTGAACAAGATTGTTTGAAAACGCCAAAACTATCAAAAGTTTGGAATGACAACACCCTGACATCGAGGTCATTGTAGCCCAGCCTATGTTAGGAAGATTAAAGTCACATCCTAAAATTTATTCTTGTATTTTTAATCTACATGCACAATATTGTCACAAATGACAGTTGGTGAGGCGATGATAACTGAAGGAACTAAGCGTTTAATGGGGAGAACTTGTACCCAAAACAAAAAGGAGACTGAAGATAACAACAGAGCGTCACGGGCGTCGAAGTCGGCGAAACAGCTGGATCATCGAACGCTGGGGCGAGACTGCCTCTGCTCGCCATGCGGAGCCCTTTATGTACCTTCGTGGGTTTCTGGAACATTCGGCGTAGTGTGTTTGTTGCTACTCTGCAGTCGACATAAAGTTAGCCTTGTTAAGTGCATGTTCAAGAGATGACCTTGCATTCTGTTCCCATCTTCCTAGTTAGAGATTTTGTCAAATATTTATTTAAACCAGAAATGCAATAACTAAAAAAAAAGTATTTTTTTTAGGTCTTAAGGGAGTAGGTGAAGTTTCCATATTTTTTGTTGTAAAGGCATTTAGCTAGAAAAATGGACTGGCCAGTCCTTTAGAGCGAGCATGTGTCACGAAGTTCACAACAGCCCCGTTAATTTTGTGCTAGGTTCATCTTGTAGCTGAAACAGTTAAATCCCTCAAATGACAGTGTGGTGCGGTGCCCTTTCAGGAGAGTGCCAAGAGCTCTATACCCAAACCGACCACGGCCAGGAAGAGCGCCTCGAGGTCGATGCCAGCGAGCCCCCGGAGGTCCGCCAAGGGGGAGGAAGCGGCCAGGTCTCGGGAAGAAGCCCGCAAGCGCCTGATGGAGGCCAAGCGCCAGGCCAGGCAGGCCAACCAGGCCTCACAGGACTCTGGGGTGGCCATCTTCATGCCCGGAGAGAAGCACAACTGACTGGCTCGTGTCGCTGCCCTAGAATAATTGCCGGAACGATCGCTCTCTCATCACGTACTCCGTCCCTGCATGGCGGAAAAGAGCCCGACAAAGGAGGTCGATTTTGTGGTAACGGTTGTAGTCACTCGTGCTGTTCGTTCTCGAAAGATTTGCTTTTCTTGTACGCATGCCGTGGCTTACATTTTTCTAACAACCCTCCCGCGGCTTTACGCAGCGGATGTCCCCTTACTCTGCCCGGAGAGAGACTTCCCGCTTGAATACGAGTGCCGGGAGGGAACTCCGTTGCGACGCGGAATTCAAGTTTGTCGAGGCAGTGCGGGGATGCGTCGAGAGGTGTAGCTCTGCAGAATGCGAGGATCACTGGACCACTTCTGGTAGACTAGCTCCCTCGCTCTTCCATATTTTCCAGTTTATTTAACCCGAGGAAAGTAGTGAGTCGGTGTCAATAAGGGTAGGCTGTGTACGCCTGGACGGAAGATTAAGCCCACCTAGTTCCGTTATAAGGACTTTCTTTGTATTCTGTGGAATGCTGCGTAAGTTTGAATACCAGTTTACATTCCACTGGATGCACGTTGTTTGATATTTCTCAATCCTTTGCATGCCAACCTCTTTTCTTTTCTTCTTATATTTTAGTAGTTTTGTGTTGTCCTAGGCATCTTGTGAATGACATTTATAACAGGAGGTATTTGTGATAACTCGAAGGAATCTTTTTTGCTGGTTATATAGTTGTAAGGAGGAGTGATCTTTTTTGTACAGTGCTTTTATGCCTGGTTTGAAATGCTTACTCAGGACTTATACACATTAGAACAAAGGGATAGCTTAATGAATATTAGTGCTTGCTAGTTATAGAAGTTATTTGAATTGGCACTTACCATATTTGTTTGTTATAAGGTGCACTTTGTACAAATATTTAATATGAGAAATGGCACGTATTCTGCGTTCATCTAAAACATGGTATAGTACTAGGTGCTTGTTATAATATACCAGTCAAACAATTTCTAGTAATGGAGTCAAAAAATATACTTGCAGCATATGACCATTTTTTTTTTGCATCTTATACTCAGATAAATATGGCGTATCTAGGGGGTTATCCCACATAACTGGGTGCAGCCCTCTTGCCTTCTCAAGTTTTCTGAACTAGTTTTGCATGAGCTTGCAGGATTGTTCTTTTTTTTCATTGCTAAACCATGACCACAGTAAAGCAGTTGAATCTTGGCTCTTGTGAAAGTGTTGAAAGATCTCTGGATTGTCTGAAAATGAGGAGTGAAGATTTGTTGCCATGTTTCAGCATGCTTTGTCTTTTGTGTGATGGTTAATGAATTTGCTTCTACTGCAAATGAAATACTACTAGGTACCATTTTTTCCCTTCTGTGACTTCTGGTACCTCAGTTTTCTTGCTGTAGATAACTGTTGGCCGTAGTCTTGCGTCAATGTTCTCTAAGTATTTAAGAGTAGTTTGAGCGTATTAATGCACTTTTTTTGTACAGTATCACGGAAGGAAGCCTCTCTTTTACTCACCTTTTTACTCTAAATCATGACTTGCAAAATAAAGCATGTACATAGCGACTCTTGCTTATTTCTAGTGAAGTTGTGTATTCATTGTAGCCATAAGTTATGGAGGATGTAGTGGCCACACCACCATTTGCAAGAAATATTTTACTCGGTCACAATAAAGCAAGCTGGGATAGTTTCTACCTCTCATGTTAATGGCTGCATTGCTCATTAATTGCCCGAGTATTTAACCAGTTTTAGCATATATAGGGGGGTTTCTCCAGACGCAGGCCAAATCATTCCCGCGAAAAATGTGCATCATGCAGAAGAATGGTTAATGTCATGTTGGTATCTGTTAAAGGGGCCATTTGAGGAAATTAGTAATGTTTGGTATGACTACCTTAGTAATTACTTTCGAGAAATTAGCTTGTTAAACCAGGGGTTCTTTTTTCGTCCCAGGGAACCCCAGCAAGCCTCAAAAAGTCCTAAGGAACAACCTCCACCTCCCCCTTGTTGCCAACCAATAATACTAGGCAATAAAGGCATTTAGATAGTGAACAAGAGTTTAATGCACTGACAAAATTAGACCAAATGGAGAACTGCAGGCAGAATAAGAAGCCAGAGGGGTTAATCTGGGGCACTGTGTAAAATATATATATATATCAGTGTCACGGGCGAGGTTGCTTTGTCCACACCAACTCAATTCATGGCTCAGTCCGTGGAAGCTTAAACTGGGTGGGTGGCATTGCAATTTGGGTGCTCGCAGAACCCGGTTTGAGAATCCCTGTCTTAAAATTTAAAGGTATGGTTTCACTTTGAAACTCTCGGGGTATTGTCGCAAACCACTAAATAAATGTCTTTTAGAGAGATTGAAGGTGTGTACAGCATTTTACGGCGTTCCGAGAAAACTCTATTTGAGTGCGTTTCTAGGTTTTGGCTTTCACTCTGTGTGCATCTTTGTGCCAGCGGTCCTGTCCTTCCTGAAGTCCCTCAATTAACGCTTTGCTAAGTAGCGGCAGTGATTGATGTGCCGACGCACTCTCCCATTGGTCCTTGCCTGTGTTCCGTTTTCGGTTAGGACGAATGTGGCGGATTTTACTCAACCTCACTTTTGAGTAACGGTTCGGTACCTTGGCGTTCGAAAACCTACCTGCGTCCACCATCGTTCTAGCTGGATTGTCGCATGATGTGACTTGCCGGAGTAACTCTGAAGATTTCGAACACAGCCATGGTGGGAGAGTTAGGAAGAACATGGTGGATTGCACGCTAGCAGACGACAGGAGCAAGCGGTGGAGGACTTGTTGCTACCTCGCATAGCTTTATCTAGGGACGTTAGTCCTTTCATGGCCAAGGCACGCAGCTACCACGTCGCCTCTCTTATAAAAAAAGAAAGTGGGGTGCGTGTTAGCACCCCACTTCCTTGTTTTGTTTGCACACGTTAGCGCCAGAGCTATCGGAGCACACGTCGGGTCAGCAAGCCTTGGCCCGACAGTGGCAAGACTTGCTGGCGCTAAAGCGTGCTCCGATAGGAAACTGAAACCTAGAAACATGTAAAAAAGTTTGTTCTTTCGGAATGCCGTATGTGCTGGGAAACAGGCAGAGGAGGAGGCGAGCATGTGGGGACATCAGAACGCCGAGCTCTGGTTGGTATGATCAGTGGGAAGTCCTAAAGCTAGCTGCCTTTGTCTACACTGCGCTCGTCAAGCGCTTTTGAGTGCGAACGCCAAACACCAGTATTTGAAAGCGTTCACGAGTGCAGTGGAGACAGAGGACTTTTAATAAGGTTCATTCTTCATAATCAAAAACAAAGCAAAAAGACGAGGACCGGACAAAGACGTCTGGTCCTCGTCTTTTTGCTTTGTTTTTGATTCCAAAATATGTACCAACTGGCCCAAGCCTCAACTTTACCAACATTCATTCCATGCGCAGCGTCACCTTTCACGCGAGGGTTGTGGGTCGTTTGAAATTTCCAGACGAGGTCATGCGGCTGCGACGTCGTGACCCTAACGACCACAAACAGGATTTTCGCGTCCACGATTTTCTCGTCATGCCAACGACGGAGATAAAGCTAGCTCTGCTAGGCGCACCATCCGAGATATGGCATCGGCATCCAGGGTCTTCGAGGTAGGCAGCAACTAGCAATTTCAGTCAAAAATGGAGACAATCGTCTATTCCAGGAGCAGCAAAGTGGTTTCTAGAAGAGAACACACAAAATTGGAGTTTGCATAGCTAGGGCCACTGGTTCTCAGTATTTACTGAAAACACAAATGCATCCCAATGATTTTGTCTAGCCCTTAGAACAGACTAGCTGAAATTTTGACCGACCTATTGGAGGCATTTACAGTTCTACTTGTAATGCACAGCAGGCTTAAACAGATTACAAAAACATGGGGGGGATCGGTGGCCAAGTGGGCTAGCGCACACCAGCTCGGAAAGCGTGGAGCGAAAGCTCTCGCTGCAGAACCCAGGATCCTGGGTGCAATCCCCACCTCTGCCCATTTTGATCCAGGTGAGCATCATACCGGCGCGCAGTCGTGTATCACCGGTACGTGATGCACATTAAAGACCCCAGGCTAGCGGTTGTGCTACACTGGCTAAATTTCTCATCTAAATCTACTCTAATAACATTTCCAATATCCTGAAAGCAACAGAATTCATTGTTCTATTGCAACGGGAGCTCAGAACGCACAAAAATAAAGCGAATACAATAGGAGGTTGTCACATATTCCGTTTAGTTTTAGAGCGCGGCTCTTAGGCGCTCGCTCCCACGTTTTGTAGCGTCGGCATCAGCGTAACCGTGCGCATTGCATTATGGGACGTTGCAGCAATTCCCCGCTAAATTTAGCGAAGAAACTGAATTGGTGTGTAGGTCTGGGACGTCCCATAATGGGACACTGCACATTCAGCTTCTCCGCTAAATGTAGCAGTAAACCTGACGTCACATGACGTCAACACCACTTCAGTTTCCCCGCCAAGTTTAGCAGGGAGTTGAATTGGTGTTGAGGTCCCGGGACGTCAATTTTCCCGCTAAATCTAGCAAAGAAACTGATGTTCATAGGTGACGTGACACGAAGTCATGTGACGTCATTTTCCCCACTAAATGTAGCAGGAAAAGTCAGTTGGTATTGAGGTCACGTGGCATCAATTTTCCAGCTAAATTTAGCAAGGAAACTGGCAGCAGGCGGAGGGGGAAGAGGGTCCTCTGTAGGACCCCCCTCTCCTCTTTATATAAATATAATTAATTTATATACAGGGCATTGTTTTTTAAGCTTACAGATTTGTTTAAAAACGGACGTGAAAGCTATTTTTATGCAGTTCGTTTAGGCGAGTTTTATGGCCAGGGGGACACAGTATATGGGGCTCATTATAACGATCAGTTGGCTAATTAAGCAAATTTTGTTCATTAACTTTTTAATTTGCGAGAATAGTCTTATGGTTCCAATTAGAAATTTGCTGAGCATCGTCCAAAACTCCTAAATCGGCAGTTTTTAAAAAAAGACTGAGTGCAGTAGTGCGCCATGTTCCCTCGTGGAGCAGGTACAAGGCCGGGGCTAGATAAGAGACGGAAAAATTGCGCAGGCGCCTTACCGCTCCACGAGTGGTAACTTTAGTGTGCTACTACGCTTCTCACGCGCTCAGTCTTTCTGAAAATGACCGATCTAGTGGTTTTCGATAACGCTCAGCAAGTTTTTAACTGGAACCATGTCTATTTCATTAATTAAGAAGTTAAAACTTTATTTAATTAGCTAACTGATCATTACGATTAATCTCCTATTCTACGTCCTCTTGGCAGTATAACTCACCTGCACAAACCCGTAAAGCCTAAGAAAAAAAAAAACGCCTTATATATACTGGGTGTTCATTCTTAATTCGAAGATTTATTTTTAAAAAATCCGTAAAAGATGCACTGATACGGTTTGTGCAGGCGAGTTATACGGCCAGGGGGACATATTATAGGGGGCAAATCGTAACAATCAGTTGCCTAGTTAATTAAAATTTGTTAACTTTTTAATGAATGAAAATAGACATATGGTTCCAATTAGAAACTTACACAGCGTCACCAAAAACCACCAAATCGGTCATTTGGCGTCTTTACTGAACACTTGTTCAGTAAAGATGCCAAAAAACACCAATCTCAATTTAAGTGCGATATCAAATGGAATTTGTTTTGCCAAATCACGTCACAAAGACACAAGATTAGTGTAGCACAAGCCACATATAGAAATCATATACTAAATTTGTGTTGCTTCATGAGCTTTTCTTTTTGAAGAGGGGAAGGGGGTTATGCCTTCATTGCCCTGGACTCCCAGGATGATGACAGCACAACTCTGGGAGAACAGGAAACTTACTTGGCCCTAGGTAAACAAACGGAGGAGGTGCTTTTCATTTTTTATTTGTACACGAAGCACACATCAAGCAATGCTGCTTGCATTGGACGCAATCCTCGGCCAAAGGTCTGCACATTCCTTGGCCACTGGACCGGTGATGGCGGAGCCTAAAAAATAAATGCAAAAAACCACCCTTAATTTTTGAGTTCATCAGTCAAAGATCATTATGAGTCATGAGGTTTCACTCCTAGATCAGCACCATATATCAACTATGTAGTGGCTTTTAAAAGGACAGCTAATAAAGTCAGTGTGCATGACAGTTACCCCTCTATGACACTCGAAAACCAATGAAGAGTGCAAATCAGTTTGGTGAGCTCTGAGTGCAGTTCCTTCTGCCACTGCCATGAATTTAGTTCTTTTTTTTTTTTACATTGGCACGGTTGAGCCAAACATTGTGCTGTCTCTGGCAGATATAGGCAGGGAGCTATAGAATACTGCAAAGTACCTTACTGATATGCAGCCAGGTTGCTTTCTGGCTGCGTATCAGGCAGCAACATGTCCATTGCTGGGTATGTGCTGGCAGCAAGCTTTTATATACCAGCCAGTATGCACATCTTGAAACCGTAAAACCTTTTCTAAATATATAGACGTTCATTATGAGCATTCCCTCAACAGCAATGACTAGAGCTGGGGAATGCCACTTTACAAGATATATGCAATGTAAAGGATATATTGTGTAGATTGCAAGCAATCTTGAACAATTAACTGCACCAATATATCATCACTATGCTTGCTCTATAAGGAAAGGCACTACAGGTCCACCCAACCAACACCGTGGCTCTTCTATCTCCCTTGGATGCAAGCTACCATGATTGTGCGAAGCAGGCGGCTAATGCATCACACGTAATCTAGTGTTTTAAGGTTGTTTATAAAGGTGCTGAACTTAAATTATGCTATCTTTCACTAATACCCCCTTCACAACATATTTGAACATATTAGGATTGTAACTATACTATTCTTTACTGTATTCACCCATAAAGACATTACAATGTAACAAGAAGCCAAAAGGCTTCCACAAGGGCACTTCAGATAGGTAAAACATTATGCAAGCAGAGCCAGATTATAATTGGCAATCAAACTGTTCATCTCTTATATGAAAAACTGCAGTTCTTCCATCAAAAGAGGCATTATGAATATTAAATCTGGATGGAATCTTAGTAGAGTAGTACATAAGTAAAAAAAACAACAAATAAAAGCACAATGGACAAGACAAATACTTCATACAGTGACCTGGAGGAAGTATTTCGTAAACCTGAACTTCTGTGAAAGTCAGGTGTCCATGAACTGAAGATCTGCATTGGATGAAGATAAGATTTCAACATCGGTGTGCTCATAACTTTCTTCATGGCAGCCAAATCTTTCTGCTCTGACAAGGTAAACCCAAGAATTCCCCAAAACCAGACAAAAGTGTGAAAGGTTTTCACCTGCTTTATGAAACAGATTGTGAAAATTTGTTGTCAGTCTAAACATAAAAATTTCAATAAAATCTGCCTGGTGTGTTTACCTCAAGCACCAGTGCAATGTATAGTTAAGAATTCTTGCTATGACCTAGTCATGGATGTCTCGTGGATTATTACAGCTCCATTGTCCTTTAATTGGCACTTGGAAAACCCCTTTCAGTCCCAATGGAAAATTATATTTCTATGCAAGACATTGCCAATGTTTACACAGGTGTACACCACCACCTTAGATTTAGGAGTGCAACCCATTTTGAAACACATACTGGAAGTACACCCCCCCCCCCCCCCCACATTGTTCTAATAAATAAAATGCGGCTAGGAAGCATGAGACACCTAAACGAAGCGCGGCGCTCTGCCTCGACAGCACGTTGGCAGCACCGCGAATGGCGGCATGTGCCTCATCTGGCGTAAGGACGTGCATTCATTCCTTCTACTCTCCCATGTGCCTGCCACATCTGTATAAATCGCAGCTTTTCCAAGTTTTCTGAACGTGTGATACTTGGGGTTACCCGCACACGTAACATGGAAGCAATGTCTCGCCTTTCATTTCGCCTTTGTTGTTGACGATGACCCCGGCGTTGTCCTCGAAGTAGATGAACACGCCGTCCTTCCTCCTGTAAGGCTTCCGTTGCCGGATGACCACTGCTGGCATTACTGGAATCCAGAAAGCACGACATACTATATGGTCTATCCAAACTCCAGAGGATGTTTCACACACTAACAATACACACTCTCGCTCAATGCTAAAAGAACCAGTTCCAAACCATTTCATCTGTCAAAATCCAGCTATGCCACCAAAAGAAATGTCAGTGTTGAGCACTGAACATTCAGTGACAGCGTTGTGCTTAAAGGGGTACAGAAACAAAAATTAAAACATTCAACTTTCGTTCGGAAATAAGTCAAGCATGACGTATAATAACCGTAAATGATAATCACGCATTTGTATTTTGAACGATTGGCCATATTTTTCGTTCTAAACGGTGTACTCGAGCAAGCGCTCGAAGAGAAGCGAACGGAGAGCGCGATGCGTCATGGGATATCCGGCACAAACAAAAACAGAAAGAAAAGATTTCCCGCGTTCGTGGAGTAGCAAGGCAGGCGTGGTTATGAGCTTTGCCCTTGGTGGCGTTGTCAGCGTTGTGATGGTGTCAATAGAGTCAGCGCGTTACAACCGACCGCTCTAAGTGCCCGTAGGGTGACGAGCGTGTGGCTGGCCCAAGGAGCACGTAGCTTCCACAACACTGTCAGCTTAGGGCTAAACGAGGTGGGGAAAGCAACTTTTGTTCGAGTTTTGAGCGACGTGCTAATCTTCTAGGGGGAGAATGGCTATGTCCGGTTGCACGAACGAGGGTCCGAGAAAGAGGGGAGTCCTTCCTTTCCGTCTTCTTGAACCGTTTGGTACAATGCGCGACTTGTGAGTTGAGGAGGAAAGCTAAGAAGGAAAATGTTGAAATACCAAAAAGCGGCGCTGCTCCGAAGGAAACTGCTACGTCACGACTACGTAGCAGTTTCCACAACGTTGCTAGACTACCTCCCAAATAGGCTCCGCATGCATCCACCAGGTGCACATTGAAGATCGTTTATTTAGCTTTAAAATTAGTTTTCTCAAGCTTTTCAACGGAAGACTGGTGTTTTTGAGGTTAGGGTGCAACATGCAACACATTAAAGCCAGAAAATGAGCGCTGAAATTTCGTTTCCCTACCCCTTTAAGGTATATGGGTGACCCTAGCTTTGACTGCACTACCTGACAAAGTTTTCGAGCGAGTATAGTGCCGTCGCATGTCCTGCAACACGAGTTCGTGGTACTGCAGCCCAATGTGCTGACAGTCCGGATCTAGGACGACCTACCTTTTTTCCTAAGCTCCGGCTTTCCCTTCTTCACTGTCGCCACGATCATGTCGCCGGCTCCAGCGGCGGGCAGTCTGTTCAAACGGCCTTTTATGCCATTCACCGCGATGACATACAAGTTCTTGGCTCCTGAAACAATAGCATGAGCGGTGGTCACGGCTATGCGTAGCGGCGCGAAAATGCAGTACTGCAACCACCAGACACTTTCTGCCACACCGTAATGTCACTACGCACGAACGCACGATGGATGCACACCTGTGTTGTCGGCGCAGTTGATGACTGCTCCCACAGGAAGACCGAGGGAGATGCGAAATTTCGCTCCCGCTGCTCCACCACGTCCTGCAGTGATCACAAGACACCATTAGTTTACACCGCCGCTCTTATAACGAGGCCGGTGTTACACCACAGCACGAAGGATCGTCGTTGTTTAGAGACACGGCTCACACAAATTACGAGCTTATCTCGCAGTCGTCACGCACACAGCTACAGAATATACATATAAATCCTACGATCTACGTTTTTTGGTAAAATTACCCGTCTCGCATCAAATGCGCTACGAACAGTCGGGAAGTGAGATGCTGACCGTACACACGTCTAGCCTTCAGGCACGTTAATTATGGCATTTTGCTATAAAATACTCCGTTACATCATACTAAGAGAGAGTAAGGTTCCTGCTGAAACAATAGGTTTCAAACTCCGCCATTTAGTTAATCAGATTATTCGAGATTTGAAAGTGCAAAAAAATTATACGAACCTCGCTTAGACATTTTGCTGTGCGAAAGGGAGACGCAGAGCGCATGCGCGAATTGACGAGTCAACCTAAAAAAGGAGATGCATGTTATGAAAAAGATTTTATATAAAATTCTAAAATGATTAGAGTTACACAGTGACCTGTTGAATTATATTTTAGAAAATTATAAGTAATAATAATTTACATTACTAATATAAAAATTAAGTTAGTTTGCCGTTTCACATATTGACATTTTTTGGGACGACCTCCATATTTGATAATTTTTTTTTTTTTCAGTTGGTGTTACGGTTGGAACTTGTGAGTGTTCGTGTTCGTGTAGCCACATTCTGAAGCACAGTTGGGCTTCATAACCCAAAATACTCATACCAGAAGCTCTGGATTGCGTGCTGTATTCGTCGTGAACACTCGTACTGCCAAGACAATGAGCTCCAAAAAGTGCTCGAGATGTGAAAAGACGGTGTATCCACTCGAGGAATTAAAATGTTTGGACAAGGTAAGGTCCCTCCAATTCTCCCTCACATTTCGACGGGATTTTTGTAACTAAACGTCGCCCTAACGTCTTGAGACAACCCACGGCACTTGACACCGCCAAATGAGCCACTTGTGTCCCATATCCTGTTACCGGAATCCGCGTCAGTGCGGTGGGATTCCTGCCGACGCCGATGACTGAAATCGCTCGTCCCATAGACTCTAGACTCGATTGTCACTTCGAGTCTTCCTTTACGATGTTAAAGACGCCCAATGTCCATTGCTCTTTGCGCCCCTGCGCTCGGCTAGAGCCCGCTTCTTCGAACAGTTCGGCGGAGTTGTCACTTCTAAATTAGGGCATTATGACGCGTTCTTTTTTTTTTCTTCTGCGGTTCACATTACCGATGGGGTCAATCGGATCGTTCGGCGCTGCTTCTCGCAGCTCGAAGCCGGGGCGCATTTGGGGCGATTGTAGCGAACTGCGTGCCCTGGGTGCACGGCAAGCGGCGTGCTTTCTCTGCTCGACGATTCTTCGCCGAGCGGGTGTGGCCGTGCGAGCATATCCCGTTCGCCTTTGCGCGCCGCCGTCCCTGCTGATCGCCGTGTGTCCGGCGTACTGCTTCTTTCCTCCCGCAGATATGGCACAAAGGCTGTTTCAAGTGCCAAGAATGCAGCATGACGCTAAACATGAAGACGTACAAAGGTTTCAACAAACTCCCCTATTGCAATGCGTGAGTAGCCCGTGTATTCAGTGCTTGCAAATAATATTGGCCCTTGCGTTGCATTCTTTACCTCACCTTAAGAAAAAAAAATTACGAAAGACTGATTTGTTTATGTATGCGTAATCCGTGAATTTGTTTTGGTTGATACCTTACTGGGAAAAAAACGCAAAACAAAAAGGTCGGAAAACGATGTGCTGGAGCTAGACTGCAGTAAAACTGCTGCGCTTAATATATATATAAATCTTGCATCGGTATTTGTTTTAATATCCTGTCGATTCAATTTGTAATATAATAAGAATTAAACCTGAGTCAGAAGTGTAAGTGTAAATCAGGTAAAACAAATTGCAAAATCTCTAAAAGGTGTATGTAACAAAAAAAAAAGTTTCCTAAGCCCTACCTTTCATAGTACCGTGTGCTAATTGGTCAATCCAAACAGAAAGAAGAGCTATCCAATAAAAAGAGCTTAGGACGTTCAAGGGTCATAGCTCACCAGACTAGAATTTATGAATTATAATTTGCAGTCTCGAGGTAGAGGCGAGAACTACCTAGTGAATAAGTATGGAGTGACGGCTACAGCATTTTAATGCGGATGAGGTGAGGTACAATTGATTTTCTTGTGAACTATTCCATCAAGAGGCAAAGGAAACAAACATGTTTTCTACTTAATCTTGTTTTGCATAGAGCAGTATTTATTTTTTTCTGTGAGCACTTTCCACTTCGATTTGATAAATGAGTGAATTGTTGGCTGTGTTCCCAGGAGCGTGGCTGCCCACTCTTGTGTCAGAGTGGGTAATAACAAACGGTGGGCATGTCTCGTCCTGGCCTTCCCCCATTCTGTCTCGCTTTTATTGGCGGCTGAAGCGGGCTTGACGTTTCCTCCGTGCCATGCTCCATTTGCTGCGGCATGGGATGTCATTTACAACGTCTAGCCTAGTTTAGTTTGAGAGCAGTTCCTTTCCTGTCTCTTCGTTTTTTTGTTCATTGGGATTTATTTTGTGAATTTTGCTAAACGCAAACATGGGAAAGCGGGTACTAGCTGTTTTTTCCCCATGTTCGCAGCTAGTTTTTTTAGCTATATAACTGAGTAAGTAACTGTTCCAAAATACGCATTTCCCACTTTAGTCAAAAAAACTCAGAACTGGCGTCATAATGTTTTCACACGCAGTGATGTTCGCCCAAACCTTTCTTAGGTAAAATAAACATATGGGCATTTAGTAGAGCAGCATTGCTCTGTAATTGAAGGACCGTTGTGTCTTAGAAGGATGAAGTAAAACGATAAGTGGTGGATGGGGCACTCAGGTAAATTTTTAGATTGTCTACTTATAATGAAAACCCAGTCAACAGGCTCTAAGCAACCTAAAAAATTGAATTGCACTCATGGGTGGCCGATTTCCCTATTAAAAGTCTAATCAAAGATTGTGACACACCCCTCTTTCTGTGCCTTGGAGCAGACACCAGGTGGTTCTGTCGGACAGCATTTTCAAACAATAACAGTATTACGTCTCCTACACCCAAAGATTTGACATTTCTGATAAAATATAATGCACAACACACCTAGAAAGAGCAATAACAGTAATGTTCGGAGCCTCCATGCAAATAACTACTTTCATCGGTCAAATTTTAAGGAGGTGGTGGGAACTCGAGGATGGCCCCACCACAAGAGAACATGGTATCCATGCATTTCTATTGCTGTCAGTTTACTAGATCGTCTTGCTATCCAGAAGTGGTCATTTTTATTAACTAAAGCCCAATGACCGACATGCCGTTAGAACAAGCTTCTGTAAAAAGTGATAGAGTGCCCCTTTAGGAGCCCCAGTATATTATTTCCTGTGTCTCAACGAATAGAGGGACACCAGGTTGACAGTTTTTGTTCTGGCTCAGTCACTGTCCACAGGCCAAACACACCACAGTTGCAGACACCCCGGAGGCCAGGCGTCTTGCAGAGAACACCCGTATTCAAAGCCAGGTGTGTGGTACACAATGTTCCTTTCCAGCTTTAGTCTTTCTGTTGACTCTGATGATCAAGTCTTAAATGTGCAACATGTTTTCTCCTCGACATGCAGCTGTTAATGTGGTCTACGAGTAAGTACCGTGTTGCAGCATGTATAGAATGCTGCATGCATTTGTTGAAAAGCTAAACAGTTTCTTGGGGGGTCGGACTCGAAGCTATGTTTTCAACGTAGAGGGTGGGTGGCTCGGTGGGAAATACGGGTGTGTTTTCTGAAGGCGTTTTATCTTTGTAAGGCTTCCCCAGTAATATCTATTCTTCTTATCAGAGGGCAAGATAATGGTGGCCTTGAGATGTTTGCAGCCCAGTTGGGTAGCGTGCACTTGTCACATTCAGCAGATATGATGCTGGCATATGATTTTCATATTCACGGTTGAATGTCTTCAAAACTTACTCTGGGCAAGTGGCATTATGTCAGATTATGCAGGGCTGCACACTTTGCTTTCTTGATATTGTATATTTTAGTCAACATAGTTACTGATTAAAATGTTGTCACCAAGACAGATCTATACCATTATTTTTAATTTAAGTTCACATGTACCCAATTGCTAAAGTTGACTTTTAAGCAAGATCCCAAAGCTAGTTTTAGCTTTCAAAGTTAACTTAATGCATGTTTAGCTTGTTTAATCACTGTACTCGTGTTTTGTTTTGTGTTTGATTTTTGTGTTACATAAGAAGTATACTAATTGGGTACTTTGCTGCTTTCTGTGACGTGCACCTTCCTGCAGCGTAAATGGGCATTCAGTCAGGCTCATGTATTGTAGAAATTAAGTAAAAGATGAAAAAAAGAAGTAAGCACAGCAGCAGACAATGCTTCCTCATATTTTAAAGCAATATGTATGAATCCCTTCTTTCTTTAAAAGGGATACTGCTAGATAAACAGGCCTAAATTGGGCAGTTCTAAACCAAGTATAACCCTCACCACTATCTACTGCTTGGCAGGCTGTGTAAATTAGGAAACTGAACAGGGTGTTCTAATATTGTATTTCACAGAGGGGTTTAAATCTCCAGTAAGACAGAAAGATGAAGAGTAATTTTTAATACATGGCAACAGTCTGCACCATACCATGACTGAGAAATTAGAGACAAGTCGTGTGCCTGTGTCTGCTGAATTACTTGTAGGTAGGTAGAAGTGGAGGGAAATGAAGAATTCAAACTTATGCTGGTCTTCTGCTTTATATTGGGAAATTGGAAGGAGAATCAAAAGATAAAAAAGGAAAGAAATCAAAGTAGATAGAGAAGAAATACTAAATTTTTTCAAGCTGCTTATCAAGACCAATTTTGCATATGAACTGCGCTAGTGCCTAAATTTTCAGGCACTTGTGTGAGGATTTCCGTGGGCATACTAATTAAGGTGGCCATAGTTATTTCATAGAAAAAATCTCAAGGGTGCAGGCGAGCTAATGAATATTAACCATGTTGAATTAACTTGAAACTGGGGTAGAGAAGAAGCATCAAAACGTAGAAGGGACAGAAAATAGACAGGACGACGTCTCAAACTCAGCTCATACTCAGTTTGAGACGTCGTCCTGTCTATTTTCTGTCCCTTCTACGTTTTGATGCTTCTTTTCTACCCCAGTCTCAAATTAATTCAACATGGTTAATAGTTATTTTGTCTTCAAAAGTGGCCTAAAATGTTTAAATTATGTTTTTGGAGGTTTAAAAGCTTCACATCGGCACGGTATAGGGTGACTGAAATGACCTGGCTTGATCTAAAATAGGCCGTAAAAATCGGCGCCTGCACGTAGCAATCCACATTTTTAGTCAAAGGTATGTTTCACGAGTCGGTTTTTTCTTCTAAAATTATGAAGTGTAGCTTCCTTTTGGTAAAAAATAGACCTGCAAAACTTGCCAGGGTCAAGGACGGATGGCGACGCAGAACACGAAATTGAGCGGCGGGGTGCATTTTGTGCACATATTGATAGATGGCACTATCTCCTTATCAAGACTGCTCCCGACGACCGGGAACTACTAAAATGAACATGATATTTTTGTAGTGTACCTTTGGTTTAAAAATAAATGCGGACAATAAAAGCAGAACTTGAAGTTAAAAGAAACAAACAAAAAAACACGGTTGCATAACGACGGCATTCTTGCTGCCGACGAATTTCGTCTGCGTGTTGTCTGCTTTTTTTTTTCGCTGGTCAGCTACACCTTCTGATGCCGCTCCCGACGCCATCTGTCAATATGTGCACCCAACGTGCCCCGCAACTCGACTCGGTCGTCTGCGTCGCCATCCACTGTTGACCCCGGCAAGATTTTTGGCACTTTATTTTACAAAAAGAAAGCTACGCTTTGTGATTTTACAAGAAAAACCGACCTTTGAAATACATCTTTGACGATAAATTTAGATTGCTATGCGCAGGCGCCAATTTTTACAGCCCATGTTAGATTGAATCTGGTTATTTCAGTCACCCTATATATGCTTGGGTAACTTTTAAGGCAAGGTTCTACATTTCTGGAGTTTATTTTCAAGGATGTTTATTGAAATTGCTTTCCTATCAAAATTTTAATTAAAAAAACCTTTCTGAATTCTCTTAACTTAAGAATAAAAGAAATATATCCACAAGTGCATCAAAGACAATATAATTCATTTTAGTTACATAATTAAGATGGCTTTATCTGTCTTTGATGTGTTGTTTATTTTATTCATAAGTTTAGAGAATTGGGAATTTTGCTAAAATTAACTCCAATGAACACAGATCCGTGGTTATTGCTGTCCACTGTTAGAAAAACACTGGCTCCTCCTGCCCACAAGATGTCCAAATGGTTATAGCTCAAGCTCGAAACCAGAACAATGGCTTGCACAATGACATAGATTAGATTCTTTTATGTCCGAGAAATACAGCAACATTGACCATTGTGAAAGTTGCGCGCAAAAATACAAGAACAGAGGAGAGAGACAGATAGACAACAGACAAGTGCGCTTGTTTCTTGTCTATGTGTTTCTCTTCTCTGTTCCTGTCTTTTTGTGCGCAACTTTAACCATGCTTAATCAGTACCAACCCGCCCAGTTGACCACCTTACTACAACATTGACCCATTGTCCTGAATTGACATTGACGATAAGCCGTCCTTCGTCGATCTCTTGAATGGACAAGAGCGGCCTTTCCTCAGGACTGCTGAACTTGTATTCTACCGAGAGTCTTTGTTATTTTTTTGGTGGTGTAGTTTTGAATATTGGAGTTTTAGGACTAATCAGAATTGGGGCAATGCAGATTTTACTAGGTCTTTTTTTTTAGAGCGCAGCTCTTAGGGGCCCGTTTCCAGCCTGAGCGGCGTCGCTGTCGGCGTAACCGCGCCCCTCCCCCTCCTCCTCCTCCCCCTCTTCCTCCTCCCCCTCCCTCTCCTCCTCCTCCCCTCATCGTGTAGTATGGTCCAGGCGAGTCACGTGACCTCGGGGGAGGGGGTCACATGGCCCGTTTCCAGCCTGTACGGCGTCGGCGTCGCCCCTCCTCCTTCTCCCCTCCGCTCCTCCTCCTCCCCCCTCCTCCCCCGCCAAGGTCACGTGACCCCGGGGGGTGACTCCCCTCCCCCCGCCGAAGTCACGTGACGGCCCGCCCAAGGTCATGTGATCCCGTCCCCTCGAGGTCACGTGACCCCCCGGACCTCTGCCCTCATCCTCCTCCCCCTCCTCCTCCTCCCCTCATTGTCTAGTATGGTCCGGGAGGATCACGTGACCTCGGGGGGGGAGGGGGTCACATGACTTCAACGGGGGGGTCACGTGGCCTCGGGAGGGTCACGTGACTACCCCCTCCCCTCCCCCCCCCCCCGAGATCACGTGGCCCCCGCGAGGGGAAGAGGAGAATGCAGGGGAGCAGGGAGGATGAACAGGGCGGACGAATCCGAATTTTCATTTCTCCGAAAAATTATTTTAAAAGACTCTTATCTCTTATCCCTCGGCCGGCTTCGGCTTTCCTGCTGCACGGTTGAAAAACCCTGCAGCAGGCATAATCACGAATTGGAGCGCAGCTCCTCCTCCTCAAGAGCTGCGCTCCAATTCGGCGTTACAGGAAGTTGTAAACGGCTTTCACTTTTTTTTATTCATTTTTTATTTTTTAATACAAGGAACACAATTGATAGGGAAGGGGTTGGACACACACACACATTCTGTCAGTAAGGCATTTCTCAAACCCAGTAATATTGACTTAACCAAATTTCAGCTTACCTAATCAATTGTTTGCTTTTCAACTATAGCAGAGAGAAAAACACTTGATGGTTTGCTCTTTGTATCTATGCAAAAAAGAATGTTTTCTGTTGCAAGATTTTTGTTTAATCAATTTCATATTTGAGCTCCTTTTTTTTTTTTTTTTTTGAACATGAGGTATTGTTTAAAGATCACCTGAGGAGAGTTTGTTTCATTGTCAAGATAAGAACCTTCTCGTTGTGTTCTGTAGACACTGTGCTCAAATATATGCACAAAAAGAGACCCATCAGACCATGAGGCATTTCTACATGTTCTGCTATAGGCAGGGCAAGTAAAATACCTCCTCCCTATTCTAAACATGCCAATAATCATAATAAGAGCCTTTGAAAAATAAAATGAATAATAATAATAAGTTTTTGCCTAGATAGATGACTGCTGGGGCAGTTAGCAAAAAGATTGATTCAGTGTCTTTATTGAGCTTTGGGGCATGGTCCAACAAAGACACATAGAGACAGCAAGGACAGACAAGACACAAAGTGTCTCGAATGTGTGGGGCTCACATGCCTGTCTGTCCCGCCGAACAGGTGAAGTACCATGAAGATTTTGAGAAGCTCAAGGGCAAGGTGACCCAAGTGGCAGATGACCCAGAGACAATGCGCATCCGGCAGACGTCCAAGATCATCAGCAACGTGGCATATCACGGCGAGCTTGAGCGCAAGAGCCTCATGGAGCAGCGCAGGGGCTTGCTGCCCACCGAGAAGAACGGCCACGACCACTCTGCTGCCACAGGTGGGCATTTCCGCTGGACGTGCGCTTTTTGACGGTCAAAGCGGAGGGAAGAAAGGGGCAGAGTGGGGGGACAGGTGCCGATCAGACAGGCATTGAGGATGGAGGAGGCGTTGGTCAGACCGTTCACTAGCCTCGTGTTGGGAAGGATTTATTCTCGGTTATGGGCCCACTTACTTAGTTCCTGAAGTTTACAAATTGGGTCTTGAAGTGCAGTTCAGATATATCCTGGCGTGCTTCCAGTATCATGGTTGCAAAGAGAGAACAGCGCCAAAATAAATGAAAGACGAGAAGACGGGGTGGACACGGACAGGGCACTCCGTCTATGTCCTTCGTTTTTTCGCTGCTGTTCACTTTTTGTAACCACGTTCAATCAGCTCGCCCAACTTTCCGCCATAGTCCAGTATCATATCTGGTCCTGTTCTCGGTGATGCCCTTCAGAAACTAAACGAGTAGAAAATGACGGGTGTTATTGTTGGATGTTGACTCGAACAGCGCAGAACACCTGCCCCGAAAATTGCTTAGCTGTAGTGTAAAAACTATCTGAAGTTAACATATAATTTTACTAAAATATTTCTCGGCAAACATTGTGTTTTTCGTAGCTTAGAAAAGTACCTTTTTATACTTTTCACCAGTGGGCTCCTAAGGCTTGCTCTTCACTCGCAGGTGTAACCATAGATCAAGAGCAAAGTAGATTGGGTTTAATGTAAAAATATTTATGAAACATATTTTCTTCTTTTTTTTGGAACCACTCTTTAAAAAACTTTTTCACTGTCATAGAGCATCAAACAGGTGTCAAATTGTTTTTTTGCATTCTCACTGTTGCAGAAGAAGCGTTTATGAAACTCTTCTCAACTACATTTTGTTTCTCAAATAAGTGGTCACATACACATGTCCACCATGTGTGTGTGACCATTCAGTTGAGGAGTAGCACCGACAAAACCTTCTTATTGAAACCAAGAAAAGGAGAATGGCATGCAGCCAATGAGGCAAGTCACAATGACACCTGAATGTCATAATGATATGAAGGAGAGATAGACCATCTAGTTTCTCACTGCCAGGTTTTGTTTCGCGGCACTTTTAACCAAATTTTATTTAGTTTTCCCTAATTATGGCACGCATTTTGTGCCTTTCCTGCCGTTTGGGCACACCATCTGCAACTTATTGGTGGCAGATAGTGTGCACCTAGTGGAAAATACAGGAAAAAGACAAAGGGGGGGTATGGACCTACCCGCATAGGTGGACGAATACATCTGAACCCTTGGAATCGGGCAGTGACTTTTGCCACGTAGGCATGTACACACGGAACAGATGAATCTTGGTGGCCAATGTGTGAAACAGAAAGGGGGTCGAAAAGCATGTTCCAGGGTTGTGTTCTATGCTTTCGAGAGCCTATCCAACACCAGAAATGTTTTGTTCGACAATGTCTCTTTGTTTTTGTTTTTTTTTTTGCTTACACTAATTATAATTTTGTTGATTGAGTGTTCTTGCGTTTCATTGCAGTCGTCGATCCAGATAGAGAATTTGATCCTGCTCAATTTCGTAAGTCTTCCCTATCAACCATTGCTGTATACTAGGAATGCCCTTTTGAAGGCCCGCATGATTTTCGCCTTCTCTGGAAGGGCAGCACAAGGTTTAGAGAGCATGCTTTTTTTTTTTTTTTTAAATAGTGATGATAAAGTTTTTATTTGGGGTTTCTCCTGCACTTTACTAAAATTGTTGAGAACTTTGTTGAGCTAACAACGGAGGAAAACGAGAGATGATGGTAAAAGGGCAAGTAGAGGAATTTTTTTGTACCATGTTTACCAGCTGACTTGCATTCTCTGTTTCTTGAGTTCATGGCCCACTAACATATAAAACAACAAAAATTCAGTTTTAACGCACGCTGCTTTTGTTTCTAATGGCCCTCAAATAGACACATTGAAAGAGGAGTTTTAAAAGAAGTATCTTTTTGGGGCATAAAGTATCCTTCTCTGGGCAATAGCTTCTCCAGCGATTTTGACGTTGAACCGTTATTTCTGTCTTAGCAACATTCATTTATTTTTTATATGCATTGGCATCTGGTACTAAGAGTCTCTAGCAAACAATACTAAATGCATTATAACAGCTTTTAGTCTGTGCCACTTAGTTGCTTTAGATGTGAGCACTACTTTTCCTGCCTTTATGATAGCCCCTAGGAAACAGAAATGGTTTGCTATGTGGGTGTACTGATAAACCACTTTTCATTTGTGTCGGTCAACCATGTAACCAGGCAGAACAGGAAACAACTAGTATTGTGCTGTGCTTGAGCTGGAGGGAACAAATGGACACTAGTGCACTTAGTACTTGTGCCAGCTGAAAGGGAAGCTTAAGTGTATTGCTTCTAGTCTCCCTTTGCCCAGAACACTAAAAAAGACATTTACGCAGCATCGTTTGACTTTGTTGTAAGGGCTTACATCAAGATACAGCCACAAGTTACCATGGCAACCCAACTGTACCACTGTGTAAGCCTTTGCAACATAGCAGTGATGTGATTGCTGCACCATTTGTGCCATATTGCACTAAAGTGCTTAATGTGCTATGTCCTGCTAGGTTTCACCTAAATTTGAGGAATTTGCACCAACATTGTGCCAAAAGTTAATTTCACTTTCTCAGCACTGGAACAGTCACCACCACACTGCCAGACCACTACAGTAGACTTGTAATAACTTCGAACACTTCCAGTTATTGCTTCATTTAACATACTATCTGATTTTATTTTCATATCAAACACTGACACTGCTAACAAAGTATGTCAATATTTATTTTTTATTTATGATCTGTTTGGATGGGCTGGTCAGTTCAATTCAGTAGTTGAGAATGATTGTGTGTGTTTTCACCTTAAAAGTTCCCTTTGCTGGTTCGAAACAGACTTTTGGCTGCTCTGAAATCACTCAGACCAATCACATCGCTAAAGCGATCGAATACTACTGTGTGGATAAGCCTTAAGAGTTTATGAAATCAGTAAAGTAGTATTTGAAGACTGATACTTTGCCTGAAATGGGTTCAAACACCAATTAGGCTAACTAATGCATTTGAATTTAATCATACTATCTGCATGTTCTTCGAGTGTTACTTGAGAAATTAGTATGTCAGAGTGTTATACTAATAAAGGCAACATGGTGAAAACCTGAGAACTGCAAAGCACAGAAGAGGGTGAACCCACAAAAATCTTCTTTTGCGTACTTTGTCCCTTTGCCTCCACTTTTTTTGCTCTCGGGTTTTTGCCACATTGAAAGCTTACTAGTTTCCTTGCATTGCTTGCATCTAAGGCACTCGTCCTCATATTTTGCATGTAGTTAAGATATTATTCTCAGGCTTAGCTTATTCTCAGTCTCTGAGGCCCGTCAAAATGCTAAGAGAATTGTTAAAATACTATTCTTTAATGTCTCATTTTCCTATACTCCATCTATGATTTTCTTTCTCTGGAGCGATAACTGTGGTGGCAGACTGATAGCTGTGGAGGGGTGTTTTCACTTGAGTGTATGTGCGTGTGCCTGCAGCCTTTTTTTTTTTCTTCAGTTTTCCGTTAGAGTGAAGGTCAAAAGGTGTATACTTACCTTTGGCACTAAAGCTGTTGCAGGATGAGGCTATTCTTCATTTCACCTGCAAAGTACCACAGTGGACACTATGAGCCACCTGAACCAATCCATACCTCGGAGCATGTCACATGGACTTTCGGTTGGGCTGAGCGATGCATAGAGCACGAAGTAACGTGGCACGCACGGAGCACCGGATTGGCCGAGATGTTTTGTGGCGTTCGTTGCGGTACATCTTAAGGTGAAACGGACGATAGTGGGTGCTCACAGTGGGGTGTTTTTCCCTTGCTGGCGGTTCACCTAGGGTGCTTGGCGTGTTCCTTTTTCCTCTGTGCATGTGTGTGTGTGTGAGTGTTGCTTTGCACCCTTTGTGGGGTCCCACAGCACCCCCACCTCCCCCTAACGAGGAGCGACCCAGCCGAACACAGGCGGCCAAGCTGGCCGACTACGAGGCCCAGACCAATAACAACTCTCCCTACTCGTCCAAGCTGCAGTCCACCGTAATCTACACCTCCGAAGAAGGACCAGGTAGTAACACAAACACCCATCTCGAGGGACGACCCCCGCCCGACAAGCTTGCTTTAGGAAAATGGGTTATGTGCCTCGGCCACTTTGTCGCAGCACTGACTCAGTTTTTGCCCCGCTTTTTCTCTCGATAAGACGGGGGTGTTTCCCTCTGGAGAAAGACTACTAATAGTATCTGCCACAATGCTGGAATATACCAAATGTCCTTTGATAGTATCGATAGGACGTGCCATGCAACTTAAATGTGATGGAGTTTGAGACATTGTTTATACATGCTATTGTATTGTAGTATTCTGTTCCAGAAAGTGTCAAAAACAACTGGTCTCGGAAGTTATTTTCATGCTTTATACTCCAAGGTTTTACCTTCAATTTCTGGCTGCTTAAGGTCAAAATTTTTAGAGGTAGACTTGTGGTCATGTCTAGCCAGTTGAGGCATTATATTTTTAATTAACAGCTGGTGACTAACCTTTTTGGAACTTCTTTTCTTTCGTTGCACTTTTTTCATACATAGGCTTGTGCAATGCATTTCCCATTTATGGCTGAAAATATCTCTTTTTATCAAATAAAGGATGAAGTTGAGAGTTCTAACGACTCCTCGGGGATTTATCTGATAGAAATTTTTATAGAAATGAGGTCTTCTAGAAAACTCTGATGATTCATCTCCTCATTTTTGTTTAACACTCATGTTAAATCAAGAAGCCCTTGCTAACATGTCGAAGGCTGTGTCATTAGTTCTTGAAAATTGTGGAAAGAAAGGAAGGCTGACACTGGTTTTCATTCCTGCCACATCGTAGTACTATACATGTATTTGGGAGCTCCCTCGTACTTGTCTGTCTGGTCTAGATTTGTACTAGAGTAGCTCTGCTTTGTGTTGTGCGGAAGCATTGGTGCCAGGTGGAGCTTTCCGTGTCATGCTCGCTGCAGAGTGTGCACTGTTGTGTCTAGCACTTGCATGCCCCTCTCTTTTGGTCATTTCTTACATTGATTCAGTGTGTTGGGAAGTACACTGGGTGTTCACACTTGTTCCTCAAATGGCACAGCACATTTTTGTGTATTCTGTTAAAATGTTTTTTTTTTGTTTTATTCAGATTTTGTGAACATGAAATACTGAAACTTTGTGGCCCGTTTACTTTTCTGTGTTCAGCTTCTCTTATATGCATAACATATAGCCTAAGTATGTATTCAAAACACTCGATATGGTTGGTTTGCTTCTTTACAAGTTAAACACAGGGAGTGCTTTTTCCATAATACTTACATTGATACAATTTGGAAACAAGAACCACAAGGAAAGACAGGCAGTTGAGCTGTATGTAACTTCAATAAGCACTGATGTCAAAGCCTAAATTTAAGTTTTAGTAGGTGCAATCCTAAAATTTGCTAATGTAAACATTGCTAGTTAACTGTGCCCAGGCAGAATGGTCTTTTCACATGGGTACCGTGTAGATACTTTCTTTGCCTTTTCAGTATGGGATTGTTTATCAACCTTCTTAGAAACAATTTGTTGAAGCAATGAAAGCATGAATTTAATTGAGGTATAGTTAAACTGACAAAGGAGTAAATCAACTTAATTTAATCAATACTTTTAGGTTATATCAGCATTGTCGAAATGCTGATCCTGTACACCAAATACATCTCAACCAAGCTGAGCTAAGCAAGTTAGCCAGGCCTTTGAGAACTATACAAGCTCTTGAATGGGAAATTATCCATGCAAGGGCTTTCTGTATTGCTTTGTTGTGAGTAGTGTCATATATGTGTTTGAAACTAATAGTGATGCCTCAATTCCCCCAGTTCAAGCACAGCCCACTCGTAAAGTTGGATCAATTGCAGACTATGATCCCCTGAATGACAACTATGGATCCTCTGCCACAGGCTATAGCGGACCAGCCCCGCAGTATTATAGAGGTGAGTCTGCAAATTCCTGAGGGCATCTACTATAAAATACCCAGTTATCTGCATACCCCCGTACAAATGCTACACTACACGTTTTAGTTTGTTGGTGTATAAAGTATCTCCAAGATTTCGAGTCCACAAATTGCGAGGCTTCGCCGTGCGCCAAACGAAAACTTTCCACTTAGAAGCTTTAGATTGTTTCTTTGAGTCTGCGTTTTAAAGGGTAGTAGTATCTATGGAGTAGACCGGGGTTGGCCAAATTGCAGCTCATGAGCCACGTGCGGCTCTTTGCGAGCCCTAGTGCTGCTTGCAGCTCCCTAATAAGCCTACCTTCTCCCGCATTTCGGCAGCCTTATGCCACCACACATATATCGAACAAGGTGCTTGTGCACTTATGTGGGTGCACAATAAAGAAACATATTTAGCAGCTTCTTTTTCAGTTGAATTCAGTGTGGCCAACCCCCAACTGGGACAAACATAACTGCCATGCCCCCCTTTTTTTTTTACTACGGCTCTTCACCTGAAATGACGGTTATCTTTTAGGACTATTTGGGTATGTCTCCCTGACCACCCCTGCAAAAGCTTCAAAAATGTGCAAGGGCCGTACAATCGAGCAGGAAGGCCATTCGGTTTCTCCCTTGCCCAAAGGGGCAAAGGCTGCCTAAAATAGACCTTTTTCCGCTGCGTGTCAAGTGCCTCAGCCGTAGACCACTTACGTACTCGGGCTTTGACGGTGTGCTTTCGAAAAGGTATTGCAAAGGGTCTATTGCAGCGAGTTTCCGGGGGACTGTTCATGACCGAGCTTCCTCTCTCTCGCAGATGCCGTCCCAGCCACGCAACGTGTCATGCCGTCCCAACCCCAGATGTCGAGCGGGGTAAGCCGCCTTGACAATAGTCGAGTTGCTGGATCACGAATGTTCAAACTGATTTCCTTGAAATATGCGAGTTCCCCAGAGTGCCATCATGGGTTCCCTAAGCTGCTAAATGTCCTCGACCCTTTTCACCCCTAAGCAGGCGTTTTCACAATTTGATAGGCACGTGCGAACAGTAGATTTTGAGTTTGAAGTGAGTGGTGGGTTTGGTCTAATATTTTCTAATCAAATATTGAACAGTTTCTCCAAGCCTTTCACTACTGTTGCACCATGCTCTAGCGAAAACTCGGCTGAACTCATGAAGGTTGTTTCCAAGCTTCCACTTGTCTCTTTATGAGCTGAGTTAATTTTTATCTAACTATGTATATTTTTGCACTGTGGCCTCAGAAAGTCCGAGGCCTACATTGGTATGGTGAGTAAACAACGGATTTGACATAAAACTAAGCCTGTAGAAATTCTTCAATCTCAAATTTGAAAAAAAAAAGAAAAAGGACTGCAAATGTGGAATGCAGGTTGTCAGTGCATCTCTGCTTAAAGTGCAACTCCGCTTCATTTTTGGTTTTGAAAAAACAATGCAGTCCTCTTCAGTATCGCCTAGGAAGACCGCACGTCAAATATTACGACGCAGTTCTGTCTAAATGTTTCTTAAACAGTCCGGCAATCTATGCAACTCGGCAAGTTGCCGAAATCGGCTGACTCGAGCGGGCGAATTCAGGCGCAACCAACAACGCAATCAAGGCTACGGCATGGGCGGAGCCAACATTGAGCTAAACGTCATCATCATGGCCCCCTTTTGCTTGTTTTTACTTCTCCGATCGAGCGTAGCACATGACGTCAGCAATGTTACCTCTCGGCGCTCAGCAGTGTCCACGTGATTGGCGTATGCGCCTGCGCAGCACGCTTCTTGGGAGCAGACCAACCGCCCGCTGTGGTCCTGCCGTTACTGCTGTCTTCCGCGTCACAATCACCGTCGTCGTCTCACCGTTTGTGATTATTGCCTCTCGGAGTTTCGTCCACATTATGGACACCACGTCCACAGAGTCGCAGACTTATGCCGCAGCTGTGCAGACGTCGTCGAATGCCGTAGACACCAAAACGTGGCGAAGAGTGCGGTGCAGATGACACTCGCGCCTGCCGCACGCCCGCCCCCATCCCGCCCATCGTTGGGACAAGGATCACGTGACATCTCGTACCACGTGATGGCCATGTACTTGGCGGCCCGAGGCCAATGTTGCCGGACGGAGCCGAAGTTTCAGTTTCGATTTCTGCTTGTGTTTAAAATTAGATTTAAAAATATATATCCCATTTTTCGCGAAGCAAACGACGTAGTGCCTTTTACTAGGGCTTTTTAATTCGAAATCACTCATTATCCCGAAATCTTCTTAATTGAGCGGAGTTGCGGCCCCTGACTTGGGCCGCAGATTCTCTCGCGATAAACAGACAATCTCAGTCAATCGCAAATCTTTTTTTTTTTTTTGCAGTATTTTTTTTTTGGCATTGTGCGTTTTTCTTTTTTTCTTTTTTTCGGCGGCGGATCTATTGGCGCTCATAGGAGGCGCAAGTTCTGCCGGGCCCTACATCCTATATTATTATGTTACCGCCAAGGTTGAAGGTTGATCTGTTTGCAAAGTCGCTCCGGTTGCTTCCTTCACGTCGCGTAGACGGAAACGCTATACGCCGGCTGTTGAAACAGGCGCTGCGGAGCTTGTCAAAGGATGGCGCCTCCCGATCGATCTGACCCATGGGCATTTTTGGGTCGGTTGTTCAAAAATGTATTAGGAATTCTTACTTTAAAACTACCGTCCACCTCTGTGCTGTCGATTTGTCTCTTCCTGACCACCCCGTAGCATTTTCACGCTTTTTATCAATAAAGAAATTGTGAAGAACGGGTACGCGCACGCCCCATTTATGGCAACCGCGTTAGCGTCAATTTGGCCATATTCCTCGCTTTATAGCTTGAAAGCCACACAAATATTGCATTATGTTTTTGCAGACTCTGTTAGTACATATTATAGACATTGATTTCGGAGAGTTTAAAAAATATTGAAGATGGCCTTTTTTTTTAAATGATTTTCAAAATAATGCATTTTTGGTTAAATGCCCCTGTGTGAGCAATTCTTGTAAATATATCCTGCTAACCAGGACAACAATATTCAATGAAAAGATTAACTATACACAGGGCAACACACTATCAAAGTTTTATAACCTTAGCCTATATAGATACAGTGAAAAAAAACTTTAATCCAGAGCATTATTGCGCAATGTGCCGTGTTTGCGATTTTGTTTGTAAAAATAACAACCCCAATACTCTATTATTAATACTTGGTGTCAATCCATCTTATGCCTAGTTTGTCAGTAAATATTTCTAGACCCGTAGCCAGAACAGTTTTTTGGGGGAAGCCGCCCGAAATCCCAACATCGCGCCATACGCAAAACGCGCACGTGGCTAAGGGGGTGCTAACAATTTTTTTTCGGAAAGACAAATTTTTTTTTGCCGAAACAAGGATTGGTTTTGTTGTTCATGGCATAAAGCCAGCAAAATATATTTTTTTCATTAAAATTAAAAATGGTCACCGGACATCGTTGTTCGATCTTATCTGAAAACGCCCAGCAGTAACTTTGAATGCGAACCCTCCACGGACCTCGCTTTCTCATGTTGGTTGCATTGTAGTAAGGCCCTGGGAGAGGCTGTTTGCAATGGGGCAAAGCTCTCGGTTTGACGTCATAGTCCCTACCACAAGAAGTGGAGCGTCGCATCGCGCAGCGATGTCGCATGACGTCGTACACAGTCGCGGGACGTGACAGTGTCACGTGGCGTGACCTCGCAATGTAGCCTTTAAATTTAGCGGGGAAACGTTTGTGCCAAGTTCCAATAGAAGTGCTGCTCGTCAAGCCAGGCGATTGCTTTCGCCCTGCAGAGGACGTTCCGCGCCATGTACGACTACGTGGCCCAGGACTCGGACGAAGTGAGTTTCATGGACGGGGACGTCATCGTCAGCTGCATGCCGATCGACGAAGGCTGGATGACTGGGACTGTCCAGCGCACGGGCCTGTCGGGGATGCTGCCCGCCAACTACGTGGAGCCCGCCAACTGAGGCCCCGCCCCCTCTTTGCCTGCCGTACCCTGGCACGGTTTCGTTTTTGCATCGTGGAGGCCCTCTGTGCCCTCTCCCTGCTGGCGCTGTCAGCATTTTCTCCTTTTTTTTTGTGTGTGTGTGTGTGTGCTAAGGTGTAGCATGTACTGAAAGGGAGGTTATTGTAGCAGCAGCAACTTGTCGACGCCGAAAGCATTCTAAGACGTACCGGAGAGAGTTATTTGGCAGATGCTTTCTGCACATTTCTTTTTAGTGAGGTTATTTTTGTTTTTGGGTGATTTTTCTCATTGCAACTGTTAAGTCTTCACCATTACGTTTTGCAGAGGTCAGTTCGATAGATCCCGAGGGAGTGCGGAAAGCTGGGAACAAAGTCGTTTCCGTCTGTTTTCTTTGGTTGGAGGGGAGTTTTTTTCCTTTCGCAGCAAGTGAGCACGGTTTGTTGCCGATATTGGTTGGTTGGCACGGCGACCCGTTCAGTGTTGTAACTGTTCGTGACCCAGTGCTTCCTCGTTACTTTCCAAACTTGCTTTATTTGCCGCTAGTGTTTTTAAACGAAGATGTGCTAGTGGATGCGGCATCTGCATTGTGGCTTTTTGTGTTCCTGCTTCTGCCTATCTCATGCTATTTAGGTGAGGAAGAGGGTTGTGCTTGCGAACAATTTTGAGGAAGAGTGTGTGGCCGGGTTTTGCCACTGAGTTTGTGCTTAACTGCAGGTACCTAATGATGCTGTTTCGAGCTGTTTACTTTAGGCATGACGTAGCTTTGCTTGTTTATGATGCTAAATGTGCATAGGTTGAGTTGTCATTCAGAAACTTCTTTCTTGATAATATTTTTATGGTTTCTTTGCCAGGAAAATAAATTTTGCCACAGAATGTCACTCATGATATTATAAACACTCAAAGCGTATGATACAAGAAGTTTTCTGAAACTGTATTGCTCAGGGTTGTAGCTTTTGCCATGTTTCTCGTTTTGTGGACTCTTCTGCCACCTTTTTGATGGCACTGTGGTTTTGCATGCCTACCTTTGCCATATTGCAGTTTCCTTTTATTTTTTTTTGTAAGTGTGGAGGTTGTCAGCTTGAACTGTGAGGTTAATGTTGTTTGCCTACATCAGAATTTCTGTTTGCATTTAGATACTAATCCATACTCTTTCTTTTATTATTATTATTTTTTATTCAGGACATAAAACAAGGATCTCCTTGACACACATTTTCGTAAATATTCTGGTTAGTTCTTTTTTTTTTTTTTTTTCTTTCAGCATAGGTACTCGTATATATAGAAATTGTTAGTCAGTCTCATATATACTTTGTCTCACTATAGCATCAGATGCAGCCATGGCTACAGGCGCAAGCGGGTAGATGTAGTTGGTGTTATTGCCGTTCCACTTTCAAAAGCTAGGCGGTTGCACTTTTAGCCTTTCCTGCTATCCATGTGAAGGTGAGACTAAGCATAGTTATTTATAATTTTTTTAGAACAGGAGAATGTAACTTTTTTGTTTTACCATGTTTATTGACTGTGCCTCATTGAAACAGCAGCAATGAAATCTTCTGTATGTGGGTTTACGAATTTTTTTTATGCTCATCTCATCCCTTGCTATGCTGTTGACCGAACTAAAAGCAAGTGTGACATAGCCCACATTTTTTTTATATATATTTTATTTTAGAAATAGGATGCGTAGCCATTAATCCTTGATAATTTGCTGTGGTGTTCTGTACTATAATCACTTCTGAATGAGACTAGGAGATGTTATGTTGTGTACAAAACCATGTACCATTAACCAGCGTTACTCATAGAGATGTGCCTTCTCAACAATTGACGTGCCAGATGGGGTAATCGAGCTTGGATTTCTAATCTCACTTCGACGCAGTGCTGGAACTTTGTTCTTTTGTACATTGGAAAGCTCTGGCTGGTTTAGAACCTAGAAGCTTTTTTTTTTTTTTTTTTTTTTTTTTTTTTTTTTTTTTTTTTAATAAAGCTTTGTATGGAAATTTTTTTCGTATGTGTCGTTTCCTGGCATCGCTTGTTCCACAGACTATCATCTTTTCAATTGTTCGCCGTCTGAGGAACGGAAGTGAGGAGACCTCCGGAGGATGTACCAGGATGTAGGATGTTTCCTCATCAAAAGTGACTCGTATTGTCTCGTACCGTTGCGCCAACTGGCAGTTATTAAATACGCTTGGCTGCATGCTCAGTCACGGCACCTATTTGCCCAGCCGTGCAATGTCGGGCTCAAAGATAACCCAAGGGGGAAAAGAAAAGAAAAATATTGGCTGCCGAATTACCAAGTCTGAGCGGAAGGAGGTCGCGTTGAATCAGTGGGTCACGAGTTTTTTTATTGCGACAGTCGACGGGTCTTTTAATCTCGCCCTTATCTTGCGGCGGAGCGTAGTAGTGTGTGTGTGTGTATTCACCGATTGTTTATAGTGCTTCGATTGTTCGTTGCACAAGGTAACCCCGAAGTTAAAGATGAGACGTGGACGGCAGCGGCGGCGCCGCCTCTCGGAAAGGAACGCGGTATCGCGCCGTTTCCGGCCGACCCTGCCGTTCCATAAAGCGGCGCCGGAGGGATGAATTGTACAAAGTAGGCGGCCTTGGTTAATTTGCCCTTGAGCTGCGCCCGCAGTCAACCGGGGAAGCCGCTGTTGTGCGATGTCGGTTACGTGCGTGCATAGCACGCAGCGCGTCGACTTGTAGATTGAGGAACAGCGGGGGGAACCGGGGTGGCGCTGGCGTACGTCCGTGCGGCTCTTTCTCTTTGACCCGCATCGCGGATTTCCACCACGAGGTGGCCCGCGGTTTGGCAAGCGCATTCGTTCGTGATGGCTTGATGCTGTGCGCCTCCGCTCCGGCACGGAGATATGGTAGCGGGAGTCAAACTCAAATCGCTGGATTCGATGAAGAGTATCGCGTGCTGGACACTGTTCATTTCCTACATGACGTGCGTGCAGTGTTTTCGTTGCAGCTACGTCCCGCCCAAAGTCGAAGACGTAAGTGGTACCGGGCATGCCGCTAACACCAATCGCGGGCATTATTTACTATTCGCAAATTCGTTACCATAGCTGTGCTTTACGAGAATCGTTTTATTATAATTTATTCGCGCGTCGATTAATGTCGGCAGGTGCTTGAGCTTCGTCTGTTGGGACCAACGTTGTTTCGCGCAGTGAAATATGTTCGTTTTTGACAAGCCGACTTGCCGTTATCTTGCTGACGGTCGGTGTCAACTGCCAACTGGGTTTCCCCCGGTTTACCAATTTGTTTCTTGATTTACGTTTTTGCGATTCCGTGATCCTCTGTGGTTGGATGTTGCAGGTATTAAATCCGGTGCATTTGGAGCCATCATCACACGTTAGGAAGCGGAGCATCAGTCAACCTTTAAGAATCAAAGTGTTCTACGACACAAGTGTGTACAGGTGAGCTGATCGATGCAGCTGTTTGCTGCGTTCATTTGTCACTTCCTAGACCCGGAGATATCGAACGGAGCTCGATATTCGGGCTTCATTATGTTTACCTCATAACGGCAACACCTGAGGCACAGTTGTGGCTTATCTACGACGGTGCGTCAGTGTTTGTCATTCATCTGTTTCTCGATTTCCGTGTTACTTAAATTCTCCCCCCTTTCCCTTTTCCTTTTTTTTTTCAGGTTACCCGTTGAAAAGTTTGAAATCATAAACGTGAGTGCGTCTTACGTTTGGCTTGGCGTAACGGTTGCTTATGCACACATAAAGCGGATTTTAACATGTTGCCGGTTTGCTCTCAGGACACCATCCTCCCTGAAGCACTCGCTTACTGGGAGAGAACACTCATGGTGAGGCCAACACTAGTGCCTATTAGGCTCAACAGGTAAGCTATTTCCCTGCACAGCAGGCATGCGTGCAGCCCTGCAGTCTTTGTCGAGGCATATATCCTGTCGGGAAAGTAGTGAGCAATGAACAGAAAGTTGGGGGATCAAACGAGCTGGTGGAGATTACTACAGTCGGTATCGGGTCAAGAAGGAAGTGGAAGCTCCTCCCACCTCTTTCCACTATAGCAGAGTGAATGGTGGAGAGGAGGTTGCCTCCTCTCCAGCGTTTGCTCTGCTATTGTGGAAGGAGGTGGGAGGAGCTTCCACTTCCTTCTTGACCTGTCACCGACTATAGACACTTTGCGTGTTTGTGTCGTTATTGAATCCTGCAGCCTCGGGGTGAGCTATGTCTATAGTCGGTGACAGGTCAAGAACGAAGTGGAAGCTCCTCCCACCTCTTTCCACTTTAGTAGTGCGAACGCTGGAGAGGAGGCAACTTACTTTCCACTGTTTGCTCCGCTGAACACAGTGATAGGCACCACTGCCTGTCACCGACTGTAGGGAGCAAGTCCCCATAAAGGTGCTTGGAATGCTCTCATTGCAGCTAGCGAATTACTTCTTGAGTGGGAATAATGTTATTCATTTCTGCAAATCAAACAAATTTGAGTATACTACATGGATCTACCAAAATATGCTGCTGCCATGCTAGAAATGTGGGCATGGCTGTTAGGTATACTTTCTTTCATAGGCACCAGTAAGTTTCTTTCCTAAAAATGGCAGTTCTGCTACCTCCATTGCTGATGTGTGTTTTGCCAAAACCAAACTTGCCTCATGAACCTCTGACCTCAGGACCTTGGAATGAATAAACAGTTGCCACATTTTCTCACAGTTGGGAAAGGTTCAGGTGATAACAAAGATTGCAGAGCCTTTAGAAAGCTGTTTCCTGTGCACATTTACTTTTATTTTTTATTACACATCTTTTTTTTTTTTTTGTAAATGTATGTATGTCAACAACTTTCCCCTTTGATTCTGACTGAAGGTACTCTTGCCAATACACCAAATTCTTGCTTTATTGTCTGGAGCTTTCGCCCTGAAGTTACATGTTGGATCTTCTATGTCTTTATTCAGTGTAGCACAGTTATATGTTGTGTCTCATCCCTCCAGGAAATGCCCAAACAATCAAGCCTTCTCACCTGATCAGGATCCATACTTGTATTGCAACGAATATTGCGAAAATGTGACTACTTGTGGTGAAGTTGCCGTTCCTGAGGAACATTTGGAGGTATTGTACCCAAAAAACATGTCTGGTTCCTATACTTGTGAGCTAATGTTTGTCCTTAGTTCTAGAAGTTTGCTGTTTGAATTTCCAAGTACATTCTTTCTAGCCTTTACTTCAGAACTCCATGTTAATCATTAAGCACTGACCATTCAACTTCATGCCATGTTGAAACAAAGCTGTCTGCTTGGCTGGAGTTCTGGATAAAGAATAAGAAAAGGTTTGCTTTTGGCATTTCTAAGAACATGTTTTCTAGTCTTTACTCTAGAGCAGGGACGCGGCCCGCAAGTGCCCTGTGGTTTGAGCTCCCATTCCTATGTCTCTAGTGTTGCATGCACTTTAATGTTGTCCATATATTTCCACTGGAAACATAACTGTGCTCTTATGACGTTTAAACATATTTGGCACAAATCTGTTGTCTTTTATATCCAGATTTCTTTTATCTTTCATACCGCTAAGAAACGAGAATTTTCTTGTGATTCTGTTATAAAAACCGTAAGGAAAACAAAAACCACCGTATGAAAAGAATTTATTTTGAGTCATATTGAACTTGGATGCTTCCCGAGTGAATTGAGCAACATAGTTAAGTTTGTTTGCTTTGTTTCTAGCTGTATTAAAAAATCACAGCGCGTTAGCTGGATGGTGGTATTTTAAATCTTGTAATCACAGTAGGGTCAAACCCGAAGTAGTTTTATGAGTAAATAAAAGCTAAAGACGGCTCTTTCAAAACGGCTATTCTGTAAAAAAGCAAATAGCACGAGATCCTTTCTTTAGGAAATCTCTGGTTGTCGCTGAACGAATCGGGTGAAAACACCATCATTGTATTTTTATTTTTATTTTTAATACAAATTAACTCTTTACTCTATGTTGGCCCTCGAGATTTTGGGGGTGGGCTATCTGGCCCCCACACTCAAACGAGTTTGAGACCCCTGCTCTAGAACTTTATGTTAATTGTTAGGTCCTGACTGTACAACTTCATGTTACGTTGATACAAAGCTGTCTGCATGCTTGGAGCTGTGGATATCAATGAAAAGGTCTTTCCAAAGGCTTTTAAGTTGTAGTTCAACCTGAAGACAGACTGGTAGTGGTACTCAATAGCGGGCTACTGGAAAAATAATGTTTAAGCAGGCTTCTGTGCACCTTAAATTTGCCTGTTGGTTTGCTGCTGGTAATCACGACCTGTGAGTGTTAAGAGTGTGGAAACCACACGCTGGGCTGTTCTTTTTTTCCCACCAGCCTTGCAGAGTATGCGACCGCACTGGCCGATATTGCCAGACACAGCCAGGTCCACGTGGCAGGGGGATTGCGGAGGCCGATTTCGTGTTCTACGTGTCATCGATGCAAACAGAGCGCTGCTTCAAGGGCCAGACTGTCGCCTATGCTGCACACTGCCAACAGGAGGCCTCCACTGACAGGTAGGCAACTTGGGGCAAGAGGGTCCTAAAAACTCCCAAGGCAAGAAAAAAAAAAACATAGCGCAAAACTTTAAAACATGTGGCTGTGTTCTTTCTTTCTTATCTTCCCCCCCCCCCTTTTTTTTTTCATCCTTGGGGTTTTTTTATTGTGAGACTTTGTTTCACAGAATCACAGATCTTGGTCATTCATTTCATTCATTCATTTATTGCTTTATTCCCAAATTTGTTTTCACAATACACACTGACATACACAAAAACTGTTTGGGCCCATAGCCGTTAAGGAAGGCTAGTCTGGGGTTTAATCTTAATACAGGTTCAAAAAGCGGCAGAATATAATAGACTCGTACAGTGTGCAAATACAACACAACCAAAGAAGTCATGTTCTAGAAAGTAATTAGCGGAACTGCATTTCATAATCATGAAAGAATCTTTTTACAGATGGCAGAAAGTTATTTCCCAACTTTATATTAATAGGTATTTCATTCCAAACTAGAGCACCATAAAATTCAATCAGCCTTTGTCCATATGCATTATGGCATGGTTGTAAATTAAACACGTAATTCGCTGCAGCCCATGTTTGTCTTCTGGGAGATCGAAATAAGTTCAAAGGAAGGGTTCATTAGACTTTTTAATTTTACGCACTGTTGGAGCTATTTTTAATTTGTAAATACAGCTGTATGGCAACACGTTTAGCGATTGGAGAAGAGGTCTGCTAGGGTTAGTTGTTCTTGAAAATGTTATAAATCATATCACCCGTTTTTGCAAGCGAGTTACCGAATCTAAGTATGGAGCGTAAGTATTGCCCTGGGATTCAATACAATAAACCAGCTGACTGTGCACAAATGCAAAATAGAGTATGCCCAAAATAAATAAATCAAAACATTTGCGCGCCTTTAATGTATAACAACCATATGCAATTTTTGAACACACGTGCTTAGGCTTTTCCAGTGCATATCAGAATCAAACAGAACACCTAGATATTTATAACAAGTAACATGTTGTAATTCCGTATTATCTAATTTTATAACTATCTCGTCGTAATTAATCGCCTTTTTCTTGGAGTGAAACACTGTATACTTAGATTTCTTTAGGTTGATTGTAAGTTGATTACTTGTAAACCATGTCAGTACCCTACTCAATTCCTCGTTGATTTTATCCTGCAATTTGCCTATCGTATCCCCAACAAAAATCAGTGCCGTATCGTTGGCGTACATTAATGTTTCTGAGTATTTTAAAAACGACGGAAAATCATTTACATGAAGAGAAAAACGTATGGGCCCAAGAACTGAGCCCTGTGGTACACCAGTTAGCACCCTTTGGGAGGTAGAGATAAATTCATTTATTACTACGCACTGTTTCCGGTTAGAGAGATAGCTACTAAACTGCTCCGACGTTTTCCCTCGAAAGCCATACTGATGGAGTTTATACAGCAAAATACTATGATTTACTGTATCAAATGCCTTTTTTTTATATCTAAATTTACAACAACGGCAATCTTACTTTCATTGAGAGCTCTGTTGAGATGTTGAGTTAGGACAAAAACAGCTAAGGACGTTGATCTATTTGGTCTAAATGCGTGCTGATTGTGACAAAATATTGAATATTTAGTTATGAAGTCCTTTATACGTTTGCATATTATTTTTTTAAAAACTGTGTTAATTGTACTTAAAACTGAAATTGGTCTATAGCTGGACGGTGACGAAGAATCTCCATCTTTAAAAATAGGTACTACTTTAGCTATCTTCAGCTCATTAAAATATGCTCCACTCTCTAACGTGTGATTAAACAGATGTAGAAGATGAATACCTAAAACATCGATATTATCTTTTAATAGTTTAATAGGAACTGTATCTAGTCCTGTGGCTTTACCTATTCTAAGATTCCCAACTACTGATAGTATTTCATTAACTTCAATTTCTTGCATTGCAAAGCTCTTTGTAATCGGTGTCGATGACTGCTGAGGATCAGGAACGTACGGCAACTGAGCTGTTAGGAGAGGCCCTATAGTAGTAAAATAATATTTAAATCTGTCTACCATGTTCTTTTCGATTAAATCAGGTAATGCATGTTTATTTGCACGAAGGCCAATAGCATCATTGACTAAGTCCCAAATTATTTTAATGTTTCCATCTGCTTGCCTAATTTTATTTGAGTAATATTCTTTCTTTTTTTCAACATAGAAATTGATATGTTCCCTAAATATTTGAATTAGGTTTAATAGTAATTATTATTTTTGTGTCCATTTATGATACCATTTATCTTTTTCCTTTAGTACCCCTAAAATCTGGCTCGTCATACAAGGACAGACTGGTACATTGTATTTATTAGACATCTTTTTTACAGCACTCAACGTTGTCGCGCTTTTGAGACTTGTAAGGTTGTTGAAGTATTCAATGTGAACGTTTTGATTATAAGTGGAGTATATATCTAGTCGTTCTAATACCCTGCGGAGCTGCGCATAATCTATTTTAGTGCGCTGTTCAGGACGACAAGATTTTCTTTAATGAATGATTTATTTTTGTAAAACAAGAAAAATGGCCAAGTGGTCAGCTATTAAGCTTGGGTAAACACCAGCATGGACATCCGTATCAGTATCGCAAAGAGCATGATCAATTAATGTACTGGAGGTGCTAGTAATGTGAGTAGGTTCAGTAATGATGTTGTATAAGTTGAAAGATTCTAAAAGCAGTGTATAGCTATTATGCGTATGACTAACCAGATCAATGTTAAAGTCTCTAACTACTGCAATGCACTCATTCTGTCCATTAGACAATGCAGTAAGTACTGCCTCGAATTTTACAGATTGTTCTTGGGATTTACGATACTCTCTTTCATAATAACTTAGTTAGCAGTGAAGGCTACAGCTAGAGTTGCCCGGTTGGGCTATAAATAGCCCAATTGGGCTACTTATTCGCAACTCCAGCCCGCCGCCCGCTCTCTCGCGGACGAACGGAGAACCAGAGGAGCGGGGATGGCAGTGGTGGCGGCGGCGGCGGCGTGGAAACGGTGGCAGGGACTGTCGGCCTTGATGCGTGAAGCCCTTTTAACGAAAAAAGTGAGGGCGTTAAAATAGGAATTCTCGTGCTCCGCCTTGCAACAGCGTTGCCCGAAGGACCGGGATGTCTAATTGCATTAAAGACTTTTTCGTATATTGTATACGCTGCAGATTTCTGGTCTTGTGCTTGGCTGCCAGCTCGATCTGTGCTCAACGTGATGGCAAACGCTCCCGCTAATAATGTAGAGCTCTATAGTACGGCCTACGAAGAGTCTATTCTTTACCATAAGTAGGCTAAAAACTCATTGCACAACAGTATGTCGAGCAATACACGTCGGGAATAAGTTCGCGTGTTTAGGGTGTTACAAGGAACATGACCATTTATTCCAAGCACTTTAAAAATACAGAATACCCGTACTTGCTTTTAGGTAATTACCAAGCAAATAAAGAAATGCTCGAAGCATTTTAAGCGCGTCTGTGCTATCCAGCCGTTCGTGACGAGAGCTTACAATAGGCAATTTTGGCGAGAGGGGCCGCAACGTTGCGAATAACATGGTCAAAAAATGTACGGTACATTAAAGTATTTATTTTTGATATAGCAATAAATAAAACTTCTAAACATGGCGATTCTGTTAATAGGCAGTTTTAACATAGCGTTACCTCAAGCTACCATTGGCTACCATGGACACTAAACAAGAAGGGGTGTAGCCCCTTGTCACATATACGACACCCCCAAAACTTCAGTTGGACATACAGCGCACTGACGTTCAATTGACGCTACCAACTTTCACGAGCGGCTTAATAGCCGAGTTGTACAACTTAATAAAATTGCTTAAGTAAGTGTAAATGACTGTAAACAAAAAAAGTAATCGGGGTTTTCTTAGCCCCATTGCAAAACCTCGGTGTTGTTTTTTTTTTCTTTGTACTCTGTTACATACTTTAGCTGCTTACTATCTTACATCGCGCCGTCATGAAGCCTCTCATCAAAATTGGGGCCAATCTAAAAACAACCTTCGTTTTTTTTTTTTTGTAGAGTGTGAGCACAAAAGTGCCCCTGGCGCGCACTGGAAATTGTGCTTCAAAAGCGCAGCGCAAGCTTCCGGTTGTAATGCTACACTACACATTAGCCTGCGGTAACCAACTTTCTATCAATAACCATAGAGCAGCTTGATCACGTGTTGCAATACATTAAAACCGCGACGGTGAGCAGCGAGTTGCGAGCCTGTGACACAAAGACATCAATACTATGAATGCTGCTCTTTCAAACCTCGATGGTCACCGTTTGCGGCTCACTTTCTAGGACGCTAATGACCAGGCAAAGTGCAAAGATGATATCTTCATCCCCTCAAAAATATTCTGCCGCAAACAGTGACGTCGCCAGTGCCTAAAACGCGCTCGCCCACCACAAAGCTTCGCAATTTGAGGTTTGTGCAACTTTTAAATAACAGCATGCTCGTGTTCCTAACGTGCATCAACATCTCCGTCACTTGTAATATGATCCTTCCCTAACCGCTTCACAGTTGTGGACAAATAAGTTATTTTTAGCGCGCTGACCAGCGTCAGCAAATCCTGGAGAGTCTATTACCGTCTCTTCCACCATCTTGGAACTACCACCCCCGCCACCTATAGGGCGTTGGAGTTGCGAACAATTGTAGTTTGCGGGAAAATCTGGTGGTTGGCTATTGGACTATTTCATACCCGAGATTCAACCAATGTCGAACCATTTGGTTTCAAAACTTTAAACGTGGTATTTCTGGGCCAGGTAGAAAACAACAATCAACTCCAGAAATTAGGAAAGGATAATATCCAAATTCGGAAGCGTGAAAATACAACGAGTGGTCCCTCATTGGTGTTGGTTGCGTAGGTGCGATAACTCTGTTCTGAAGATTTTTGGCGTGAGTTACCACTGCAGTCAGGGGTGGATGCAGGTGTTTTTAATCAAGGAGGGGGGGGGGGGGGGGGGGGGGGCACGTGGCGTAGCGTATCAGGTATTTGCGAAAATGCC